CAGATGTGCATCTGTCTCGAAAAACTAAAAAAAAAGAGAGAGATAAATAAATAAACATGGTGCCGCTATGCAATGAAATATCAATAGCCATAAAAAAGAATGAAGTATTAAACACATGCTACAAGATGAATGAACCTTACAAACATGCTGGGAAGTCAGACAAAAGAGGATAAATGCCATGTGTTTATCAGATTGATAACTACCTTAATTGTCATCATAGAACGTCATCTAGTATATGATGGAAGCATATGCAGAGATCCACAGAAACACTGGGCTGAACTCCTGGAGTCCAGCCATAGAGAGGGAGGAGCGATATTATGAGCAAAGGGGCCAAGACCATCATAGGGAAACCCACAGAAACTGCTGACCTGAGTTATTGGGACTGACAACTGGAGAACCTGAATAAGACCAAACTAGGCCCTCTGAATGTGGGTGACAATTGTATGGCTGGGGCAGTTTGTGGGGTCACTAGCAGTGGAACCAGTATTTATCCCTAGTGCATGAACTGGCTCTTTGGAGCCCATTCCCTATGGAGGGATACCTTGCTCAACCTAGATACAGGGGGAGGGCCTTGGTCCTGCCTCAAAGTGATGTGTCAGACCTTGCTGATGCCCCATGGGAAGCCTTACCCTCTCTGAGGAGTGAGGGGGTGGGGTGGTGAGAAGATGGGAGAGCAGGAGGACATAAGTGAGAAAGAACTGGGATTGGTATGTAAAATAAGATTGTCTTAAAAATAAAATATGTGACTGTATTTGTGTGGAATGAGAATTTGTAGATATATAGAAACAAAATAACACAGATAGGGCAGACGAGATGACTCAATGTATAAAGGCACTTGCTGCCACACCCAAGAACTTGAGTTCAGTCCCCAGAACCCATGTTGTGGAAGGTGAGAGCTGATTCCCACAAACTGTCCTCTGGCCTCATGCATGTAGGATATGTGTGCCCACATACACACAAAATGAATAAATAAATAAATAAATGTAACAAAAGTAATAATTTAAATGGTTGCCCTCTATGCAAAGGTTATATATTCTGTTCCCTTTCCCAGGTGTACGGGGTGTTCTAGATTGTGTATCTTGTTCTATAGATAAAAGATAGATAGATGACTCTTAATGGAGTTTTGTTAGAAGTTAGTGGAGGAAAAGCCCAGAAGCAGGTACTAACCTATGTCCTATATCTTTCTTCCCTGAGAAGGAGCTTCACACATGATTTATGTTAAAAGCTTGTAGCTGTACCCTTTTAACAGTCTGTGAGGTCGACAGCATCTTAGACAGGTACTCAGGTCTGTTTTTGTCTTTCAGATGCCCACCTGTCTTGCCCCATATTTTGAAGTACCTAAATAGCCTGCAATTTCAATACTGTAGTAGATTCAATAAAATATTTTGGAATTAATCCAGTTTGGGATTCTTTTTTATTATTATTATTATAAGGGTGAGGATAATATTCTGTCTTTATTCTACACATCTCTTAGGTGAAATTGAAAGTACGACTGTACTTTTCAGAAACATCAGTCATGTAAGAGTGAAAAACTATTCCAGATTGAAAGAGGCTAAATACATATTTTGACATCCAATGTGGTGGCACATACCTGTAATTGCAGCATCAGGAGGTGAGATAGGAAGATCCCTAAGTTCAAGGTCAGCCTGATGTTGACTGAGTTTTCTGTTCCTGCAGTTGTTAAGTCCCAAAGAAATCTCACAGAGGTCTACATTAGTTGTAAACTGATAGGCCTAGTAGCTCAGACTTCTTATTAATTCTTACAACTTAAGTCAGCCCATTATTCTTGTCTATGTTAGCCATGTGGCTCGGTACCTTATTCAGCAAGGCAGTCACATTTTGCTTCTTCTGTGTCTGGGTCATGACTACATACTGAAACCTCCTTCTTCCCAGAATTCTAGTTGCCCTGCCTCTACTTTCTGCCTTGTTACTAGCCAATCAGCATTTTATTAAAAATAATACAAGTGACAGGATAAAAGACCATTGTCCCACAGCACTTCCCCCTCCCTTAAAAAAAAAACAAGAACTCTGAATCTAATATCCTTTGTTTAGCTTTTCTCCTGACCATTATCCATAACAACTTATAACCAACATTCTAAACAGAGGAAAATATGCATAGTCCATTTTTAGGAAATGGGGGCATAGTTTTCCTGGTTGTTTCCTGCTGATTGGGGACACTGATAATCTGATGGGGACCTAAAGAAAATTTATAATTATGATCAAGTCGTGATCCTGTGAGGCTTGATCATCTCAGGCAGCAATCTTGAATCTGTTCTGGATGTAGAACTCAGACATCTGGGTCATCCATTCCTATTGGAGATCTCTCAGGGAGTCTTCCTTGATCAAACCTGATATTTTTTAACCTGGAATGAGTTCACAGCCTCTCATTTCTTTTCCAAAGTAACATACCTTTTGACTTCAATTTTGAAGTCAAGGTATTTTCAAAATACCTATCTTGGATTAAGTCACCAGCATTTATAAACAAGTATCTTTTAGCAGCTGTTGCTCCTTCCTCAGGATTCAAACAATTCAAAGAGAACATAATAACATACAGTATCCAGACTCTGTGTATTTTCCATCTTTACATGGCTTTATTTTAACCTCTTTTATTTTTATTTTTAACTTTTGGCTTTTTGAGACAGGGCTTCTCTGTGTATCTTTAGCTGTCCTGGAACTCCCTCTGTAGACCAGGCTGTCCTTGAACTCACAGAGATCTGCCTGCCTCTGCCTCCCAAGGGCTGAGATTAAAGGTGTGTGCACCACACCCAACCACTCTCTTTTTTATTTTAAGGACTTTATCCTTTTTTTTTCTCTCCCAAGCCTACACATATTTTTAACACACTGTAAACTGTTTAGAGGTTTTCTTGTCTTTGAATCTCTCTTTACTGTATATCTTTTTCTGACCACACGAGTCTTTAATTTGCTAAGCAGTATGGCTAGAGTTAAAGTCATGGCTTTGATGGCTAGATCCACCCCATTTTTAGCTTTCTGAGAATCTAGCTTCAGTGTGGAGGTACTGGTCAGAGCCATGTTTATTGCCATAATTGTATGGTGTTTTAAGGTCCATGTACCACCAAGAAGCATGCTGTAGGGTATTCATAAGCACCATTTAAATGTTTTGTGGCAGAGCCTCTTAAAAGAGCTGCAATGTTTTGCAGCTAAAGCTGAGTCAGGAAGCCTCTCTTAAATGAGAGTGTTTGCCTCTAGCAAACAGAGCCCACCTGAGAAAATGCTGCTATCAACAAGCTGTGCTTAACTCTATTCTTTTCTGTCTAGAATTACTTCCTAAGTTCACTCAGGCTTTGTGTGAATGCAGTTGTCCACACAATGGGCCCAGTTTGTTGCATGGAGGCTGCTTGGTAGTTTCAGGATGCTTGGCCGCCTGACTAACTAGTTAGTTCCCAGCTGCCCAGAACTGAAATAATCACACAGAAACTGTATTCATTAAATCACTACTTGGCCCTTAGCTCTAGCTTCTTATTGGCTAACTCTTACATCTTAGTTTAACCCATCTCCATTAATCTGTGTATCGCCATGTGGCAGTGGCTTATCGGCTAAGTTTCAGCATGTCTGACTCTGGCGGTGATTCAGTGGCGGTTCTCTGACTCTGTCCTTCTTCCTCCCAGCATTCAGTTTAGTTCTCCCCACCTAACTCTGTTCTACCCTATCAGGTTTATCCATTAACCAATAAAAGCAACACATAGACAGAAAGACCTCCCAAACCAGCCTGAGATACAGAGTGAGAATGTATTTCAAAAATTAAAGGTGCAAATAAAAACAGAATTAAGTGCACTGTGCAATTTTGAAGTAGATCATTTTACTATTGATACAACTGGTAAAGTCTCTGTTGGAATCTTAGGGTTAGACAGCAGTAACAGACCAAAATTATGATCTTGAAGGGTATGCTAATGGCTTTATGGGAGAATTTCTTCTTTTTCAGGAATATACAAGTGTTTGGAAAGATTTAGTACTGTATTGCTAAAGTATTTTAGGGAAACGATTTTAGTTTACTGTTGTTTGCTTTCCACATATATCCAATTGCTTCAAAATAAGTCAGAAAACAACATACCTAGAAATAAATCTAACAAAGGACATAGAAGTTTTATGTATAACCATAAAACGTTAGCAATAGCAAATTTTAAAGATAAGTAAATAGAGGGCATTTCCAGAGAGGAAATGCCTAGCTGAGCCTAGAAAGACTCCTAGTGCAGATGGCATCTCAGCATGGACTTATGAACCAGATAGAAGAAAGGAGCAGCATGCTGAATACCAGCATCCCTTCTCTGGTCCCGGACTCTCAATGATGTGATATGATGGGACCTGACTTGCTCTGTTGCACCTTCCCTGCCACTATGGATGAATCCACTGAAATCACAAACAAAAACAAACCCTCCTTTAAGTTTGTCAGTTGTTTTATCTCAGAAACTAAAAAGTAACTAATATAAGGGGAGATAGTAGAGTCATGTTTTGGAAGGCTCATTCTTGAAAGACATAAGCTATCCCCAAACTAATCTATAGATTTGGTGTAATCCCAACAACAATTGGAACTGGAAATTTTGTGGAAGTCTTAAGAATATTCACCCTTCCTGGGGAGAGAAGAAACAAATCTGTTTACCAGTTTAAGGGAGGACCAAGCAAAAGGCTGAAAACAGAGGAAGCAGAAAGTACGAAATGGAATGAGCAAGACACTTAGAGAAGGGATAAAATAGCATGGAGGACTCAAGAGAACTAGAAACTTGACTGTAGAGCTTTTGTCAGCATAAAATAACTGCTGCTGAACTGGACAGTAATTAGCACAAGGTGCACATCCAGTCATGAGTTCTGATCCAGTGTGACAATGTTATTTCTTGTGATGAATCCTTGATAAAAAATCTAGCCCTCTGTAAAACGTTGACTTTTAGGCTGCGTATATATCAATCAGTAATTTGAAAGCATATATTAAAATTTATTTTGAAGTTATATTCAATTATTTCTCCCTTCTTTTTTTTTTTTTTTTTTAGAGTGGACTCCTTTTTTTCCTGAGCCAGTATATGTCCCAACGGGCATGGAAATAGAACCTGTTTACCCAAACTCCAAGGAAGATACTGTGGTTTATCTAGCTGAAGACGGTGGGTATCTTTAACACACTGATGTTAAATATAATTTGGTGTCTGATTTAATGTCTTAGACCTTTTTGTTGTTTTTAGAGGGAACTTCAAATTACTTGGAAGTCCCTGTTGTCTTAATAACGTATGACTACATATTCAGATGTTTAGTGCTGATTCTGTTTTCGCAGACATATTTTAAATATGCTATCCATTAAATGGAAAATTCCATAGAGACTGAACTATATTTTGTTTGTTTTCAAATATAAATCTAGTGATATCCGCAAAGTCATTATTCCCTCTATCTGCAGTTTGTCTTTGTAGAATCAGTCAAGTGATTTTCTGTTACTTTCATCTCTGTTTGGTGATTTTTTTTTATGTTAGCGTCTTTGAAAGAAAAGAAAATAGTCCATATTGCAAATAAGATCCAAAGTTATATTCTAGGAAAGTGTTTTTAATGTTTGAGAGCTCTACAAATGCAGACATCTTGTCTGCCTTTAAGATAATGCATGCTGATAACTTAACAGAAATCTGGGTCAATGTCCTAATTATGGGACTCTTATGAAATTTCCTCATTAGAGTTTGATATCTTATTGTTTCTATATATTAAAGTAGCTTCCAGAGAGCATACATGTTGAGAAAGCAAGCATGCTAAAGAAAAATTCAGAATGGCTGTTTGTCTACAGTGACAGTTCCAGAAATCATGTACTCACACATATATAAACACAAAGTGATAAGCACTTGTCAAATTTTAAACTTTTGTTTTCAAATATTTACATAACTAACGTATGATCTTTCACACATAACTGAAATGAGGTAACTAAAAAAATTAAGTGGTTTAGGGCAATAAGGAGGTTAGGTTAGGTTAGTCAGAGTTTACCTGAAGAAACTTAATGAATTTACAACAGAGCAGATAGAGCTGAAGGAGACAACAAGAGGCTATCAACAGAAAATGGCCTGTCTCCTGGGTCTGAATTAGTAAGAAAGTGGTATGGTCTCTAGACCTACAGCCGGTAACTATGTGAGAAGGCAGCTCCTAAGCCACTGTGGCTTCCGGTGAAGAACACATTGGGAGATAGCCGAATGTCACTCTCTCCTACCTTCCCAAGTTCTACAGAGCTTTCTTCTGTCCACAGCAGAGGCTCAGAGACCCTCCCAGACAGTCCCTTAAGATCAGGATACTAGAAGCAGAGAATGGAGAGAAATGTGCTGTGGGAAGAGAGTAGAGGATAGGCCTGAGGGAGAAACCGTGTGCATTGCTGTTTGAAAACCACCTCACCTGATTGTAGCATTGACTTTGGCAGTTGTGAAGATCTGCCTTTAAATGGTTTGAAAGGAAACCAATGGAAATAAGATTTGAAGATGAAAACTTTCTACCATACTTTCATCAGCATATAAAAGATCATTCTAAATTACTTATATTTCTCCATGTTTTATTAATATTGAAAACAACAGAAAAGGGTTTCAATAAGTTAAGATATAAATTAAGTACCAATGAACACTAACGGTTCCGAGAAAGCTGTAATCTTCCAATAGGCTATGGAAGACGATGACACTGTGATATGATTATCAGGGGTGTTAAATCAAGGTGAAATAGGCTGAGTTTACAATTTTTTGGAACCCCAGAGAATTCCTATTTACCTGCTGGTGAGTTCCCAAATATTCTGCAGAGCAAGTGTTGTTCTGATTTCTGTCAGTGATCCTAAGCTCCCTGGAGATAAACTCACAAAGCAAGCATGCCTTTATGTCTGGCTGCTCTGCCTCAGGGCTCTGTTCTTCAAATCCACTGTGCTACTTGATGCTTTCACACGCCAAGTAATTCACCCTTCTATAACTACAGAACAACTTACTCTCTTTTTATGTTCATGATCTATTTGGAATAATTTTTGATGCATGGCTTGGAATATAAAAGTTAAGGTTTATTTTCCCACACACCTGTTTTTGAAACTATTTCACTCTGAAGTATTGAAAAGACTATCCTATCCTCCATGGAAGTGTTTAGCTACCTTAGTGAAATGTCAGTTCACAGTATACATGTCAGTCTGTTTCTAGACGGTATGTTCTGTGATGATGTATTGATGAGTGTGCTAATACCACACTGGTGGTGTAGCTTTATCCATAGCTGGATACTTTGATACAAAAAAATAGCCATTTGAGCTTTTTTATTAGTATTTATATTGTATATCTTTTTCCACCATTTAAAATGTTTGTTTTGTTTTTGGTTATGTGAGGCAGGGTCTTACTGGGTAACACTGGCTAGCCTGGGACTCACTATGTAGACCTGGCTGGCCTCAAACTCATAGATTCACCTGCCTCTGTTTCCCAAGTGCTGGGATCAAAGGCGTGAGCCATAGTACTTGGCCGCATCATTTAGTTTTTAATCTGTTTTCTTCATTTTTTAAAATAGGTACTTACAACATATAGCTGTGCCTGGCTTTTTATATAGTTTGAAGATATGTTTTTAAACTACGCTAATCAATATAAGTTTTGATGCAATTGGATTCAATACTTACCATCTTGCTGTGTTGTATCTTTTTTTTTTTTACTTTTTTATTAGGTTTTTGTGTGGTTGCCTTAGGTTTTTTTAGTATATGTCTTTATAAAAGATTCTCCTTGCAGCTAGGTGTTGGAGGCACATGCCTGTATCTTAATACTCAGGAAGCTGAGTGGGAGGATCACAAATTCAAGGCCAGACTGATATACACAGGGAAAACTTTTCTCAAAAGTAGATTAACTGGGGATGGAGAGATGGCTCAGTAGTTAAGAGCACTTTCTGCTCTTGTACAGGATCCCAGTTAAGTTTCCAGAGCCCACACTGGAGAGCTAACAACCATCTGTAACTCCAGTTCCAAGGGATGCAACACCCTCTTCTGACCTCCAGGGACACTAGACACGTACATAGTGTGCATACATACATACAGGCACTAGAATATATATATGTGTGTGTGTGTATTTATGTATGTATGTATTTATATGTATATATCTTTTAAAAATTAATGATTTTAAAATAAATATAAAAATTACTTTAAAATAACCCTGTCATTTCATATATAATACAAAAATCTTATAAAAATGTATTTTCAATTTCCTTTTTATCATAATTTCAAATGTATTTTAACTTTTTCGTGTGCTAAAAAAAGTAACTGTTCCCTTCATTAGTAATCTTTTAGATAATTTTTAAAAAGAAAAATGACTATTTACTTTTAATTTCTAGTATTAATTTCTTTGTGTGTTTGTGTGTGCATTCATGAGCATCTATATGAGCACATGCATGTGTGTAGAAGCCAGAAGTAAACCTGTGTATCATCCTCAGATGCTGTCCACCTTGGGTTTTGCAGCAGGGTGTTTCATTAACCTGGAACTCACAGACTAGGCTGGTTTGGCTGACCCAGCAGGCTTCAGGGATCCCTAGAACTTGGATTAGGGGCTCTGCCACTACACCTGACTTTTACAAATGTGGGTTCTGGAGGTTGAGCTCAGATTCTCGTGGTTACTCAGCAGACATTGTACTGACTGAGCTTTCTAGCTCCCTGGCCATCAAACACTTGCTTATTTATCTGTTTATTTACTTATGTATTGTATAGATCCAAGTTTCTGTCTAATAACACTTCTGCCTGGAAAAACTTTACTTATTTCTTGTAATGCAAATTAATTCTGTCTCAGAAAAAAAATATTGTCTATTTGACAAATTTTATCTTGCAGCACTTGAAAAATGTTCCAAATTTATAACCTCTGAGACTTTTAATCTTTATTTCTACATAGATATGTTTGTTGTTCCTTGAGTTTTTTTTAAACTTTGGTTTCTTGCCAGTGACTAATGTCAGAATCTCAGGTATTATCTCTTCACACTTTTCTTCTCCTAGGATTTCAGTCTGAATATGTTAGGTTATTTGATAGCAACAGTTCTTGGATCCGGCAGTCTTATTTTGTATATTTTGTGTTACTTTTGTTTATAGAAACTCCTGCTTGAGTTTATGTGTTTGCTCACCATCCTCGTGTTTATTGAGTATCCTCTCCACTCTGTAAAGTCTCCCGATGAGCTCCTCAGGGGTAGTTTCAATTTTTGTTACTGCTTTTCATTTGTCATTTTCTATTTGATGCTTTCTTACATTTCCATCTGATCTTGTATATTCTTTTACACTTGGTCCTTTGACTTATCTTTTGCCTTCTGAATATTTTACCTGATAGACTCACATCTTCATTATACTAAACTGGTTATGTAGTTTTCTCTCTTGACCCACGTCTGTGGGATTGTCTCTGTGTATGTGCGTGCATACGCATATGTATTGAAACCCGCTGGTTGGTAGCTGAGGAGCTTATCTAGGTAGTAAAGAAAAATCAAATATTTTTTATGTGTGAAAAAAACTGAAAAAAAAGTCCTGGATCTAAGTCTTTAAGTGTATATTATGAGACTGGGGGAGGTATTAATTCGATCAGTATGGGAATTCAGTTTGTGTTAGATTTATTCTTGGTCTTCTTACTGTTACAGCACCACAGAATTCAGATTCCTCTACATCACCATTTAGGATGATGCAGAAGAACCTTCTCAGTTCTGGACCATTCTTCCTTTATGCTGCACTGCAGAGAAATGCTCTCTGAACTCCAATTCATAAATCCTTGTTATTTTTTACTCATGGCCTCTTAGACTGTTAGAGGGAACTGTTTAATCAGAACCACAGAGTTTTTAGTTGCACACATGGTCCCTAGTTCTCAGATGCGAGGTCTTTGCAGTGTGCCAGTGTCAGCAACAAAACACGATTCCATCCTGCAATTCCGCCTTTCTGCAAGTAGTAAAGGATTTGGGATTTTGAAAACAGTTTTCTTTTCCCAGATAATGTATATGAACACTAGTACCCTAGTGACAGTGTTTATTGTCCTTACTTCATAAGAATTTAAGGTTTGGGCTGGAGAGATGGCTCAGAGGTTAAGAGCACTGCCTGCTCTTCCAAAGGTCCTGGGTTCAATTCCCGGCAACCACATGGTGGCTCACAACCATCTGTAATGAGGTCTAGGGTCCTCTTCTGGCCTGCAGGCATACATGCAGAAAGAATATTGTATACATAATAAATAAATAAATAAATAAATAAATAAATAAATAAATAAATTAAAAGAATTTAAGGTTTTGTTACATAAAGAAGAGGGAGAAATGATCTAGTTAGGGTTTTGTGCATTGTCAATAATGCTTTCTTGGAAATGTTTTTGTGAATATCAGGTTGTGTCCATGAGAAGAACTATTGCAGGGACAAATTTCCCTTATACCCATATGCCCCTCATACCCTCTCAGAGAATCTGCTTTCTCTTTCTAGTCCACACTCAACCTTTTGATGACTGGTTATAATTTTTAAAAAGACTTATTGTTAAATTACATGTCGCTTGTGTGAGTATGCGCACAAATGCAGATGCTAGTGCAGGCCACAAGCATTGGGTCCCTTGAAGCTGGAGTTACAGGCAGTAATGAGCCACCCATTGAGTCTGAGTGCTGATAACCAAACCTGCAAGAACAGGGTGCCCTTTAACCACGGAACCATCTGATCAGCCCTAACTAATTGTTAGGGCTGGTCAGCCCTAACTAAATGAACTTTGCTATGATCTGCACCAAGTACACTAGTACTCATGACCCTCTCTCCTTAGATTCTGAATTGGACATTTTTCCTGCAACCATAGGTAATAGAATTTTCAGTAGCTCAAAAGAGTTGCAAATTTGCTCACTCACAGTAGTAGGCTTTTGTGCTGCAGGACTGAAACAATGCACTTCCCAGTGTCCTGTGTCCTACGCATAATCCAGAATGTATCCTCTGAGTTAAGTCTTCCTGGTGTATAGAACTTATTTAAAGCTGTAAGCTTTTCCCTAAGTACAGCTTTCGCTCCAACCCACAAGTGTCGATGCGGTGTCTGACTTGTCATTCTGCTCAAAATGTTGTTTCATATGCCTGTGATGTTTTGCTTGCTGTGGATTATGTAGAAGCATGCTGAATATGAGATTATCTGGATATCTTACAGTCACTGATTTCGTCTTCTCTCATCAGCTTACAAAGAGCCCTGTTTTGTGTATTCCCGCGTTGGGGGTAACCGGACGTCCTTGAAACAGCCCGTGGATAACTGTGACAACACTTTGGTGTTTGAAGCGAGGTTTGAGAGTGGTAATCTACAGAAGGTAGTCAAAGTGTAGGTTTTAATTGTTTTTATTAGAGGAAGTAGGCCATTATCTACTTACTAGGTTTTTTTTTTTTGGATTAGGTATATTAAAGTTCTTAGTCTCCATTACTTAACTGTAATTCCTGAAGTACAGATGCTAACTAGAGTATTAAAGGTTTATATTTATTGAACCTACTCCTAGCTCAGCACTTATAATACTATGTATATGAACATTAATACAAAGTTGTTTGATAAGGAAAATCACAATTAGAAAAGATTGGTATGTGAATAAATCTTAGAGTGAAGACGTGTCTGTCTTCATTAAGGATCTTCAGCGACTGAGTGTGGGTACAGATAGTTATCAGACTTTTTTCTGCTAGTTCAAATTTTGAAACCTATGTGACTGTTACTTTACATGTACTTTCAAAACATTCTCAGTAATAGCTACTTTTTTCTCCTAGAACTGGAATTATTAGAAAATAAATTTTTGAAGGGGAAAAAAAATCAAACAATGACTTTTTTCTTCAGTTTCAATAACTCTTTACCTATTTTTGTAGGAAATAATTGTATTGAAACATACAAAGGAATACAAAGGCTTCATATTTAAATATCAATTACTCATGAAATAAAACTTTCAGAACTTAATTTTTGTGGTTGTTTGCTATCAAATTCTAAGTATATGTTGTTTCTTCCCAAAAGAACTATCTATGACTATATAAAATAGATAAAAATAAGATTATTTTTCTAATATAGCTTAAACTGAAATGTCATACTTATGTGCTTTTTTCCTTCCTTTTTTGTGTATTAGGGCAGATTATGAATATCAGTTGACTGTGCGCCCAGACCTCTTCACAAATAAGCATACTCAGTGGTACTATTTCCAGGTCACTAACACCCAAGCAGAAATAGCCTACAGATTCACTATTGTCAACTTCACCAAGCCCTCTAGTCTTTACAATCGGGGTATGAAGCCACTGTTCTATTCTGAAAAAGAGGCCAAAATCCATAACATTGGCTGGCAGAGAATAGGAGACCAAATCAAGTATTATAAAAACAACCTGGGACAAGATGGGCGCCACTTTTTTTCTCTTACATGGACATTTCAGTTTCCACACAGCAAGGATACTTGCTACTTTGCTCACTGCTATCCATACACTTACACCAACCTTCAAGAATACCTTTCTGGCATCAACAGTGACCCAGTAAGATCAAAGTTTTGTAAAATACGTGTCTTGTGCCACACACTTGCTAGGAATATGGTGTATGTCTTGACAATCACTACTCCCTTGAAGAACAGTGACTCAAGAAAGCGCAAGGCTGTGATTTTGACTGCAAGGGTTCACCCAGGAGAGACCAACAGCTCTTGGATCATGAAAGGCTTCCTAGATTATATTTTAGGAGACTCGAGTGATGCACGGTTGCTTCGGGACACTTTCATCTTCAAGGTGGTACCCATGCTGAATCCAGATGGTGTGATCGTGGGAAATTACCGATGTTCCTTAGCTGGACGGGATTTAAACCGTAACTATACATCTCTCCTGAAGGAATCTTACCCTTCTGTTTGGTATACAAGGAACATGATCCATAGGTAAAATAATCTGTAAATTGCATCTCTGCTTAATTCGTAAATTTGGGAATCAAAACTTTGCTCATACAATCCCATTCATTTCTTTTACTCTAACTTTTCTTTTTTTACTATTTTTATTGTGCTATACATTTTTCTCTGCTCTCCTTCTTTCCTCCCCCTCCCCTTATACTCTCTTCCGTGACCCCCACACTCCCAGTTTACTCACGAGATGTTGTCTTTTTCTCCCTCTTATAATGTAGCTCCATGTATGTCTCTCTTAGGGTTCTCATTGTTGTCTAGGTTGTCTGGGGTTGTGGACTATAGGTTGATAACCCAAACCCAGAAAGACAATATAATATGTTCCCACTCATAAGTGGCTTCTAGACATAAAGCAAAGAAAAAACCTCTAACTTTTCGTAAGATAGTTCATAAGCGATTTTCTTCCTTTCCAGTTCTGATCACACACCTTTCTGGCACTGTGAACAAGCTCTTTCTTGAATGAGAAAACAGGCTCCAGAATATTTCACTGGCTTTGAGAAACTGTGAAGTTTGCATATCACAAATTTGATTTCTTCCTAAAACTTATAGTAACCTTGATGACTACTGTAGCCTCGATGGTTACACTGTTTTTTTTTTAATCATCTATGTGTGAATATTAACTACAGACCAAAGCTTTCTGGAATTATGCCAGTCATACAGTGCTGAGTGAGTCCTTAGACTTACTTAGAGTAAACTGTAATTTCCCTTTTTTATATAACTTATTTTTTATTTTTTAAAGAAAATGATCGTTTTTTCACTTTATATACCAATCCCAGTCCCTCCCCTCCTCTCATTCTCTCCACCTCCCCCCCCCTCCACAGAGAGGGTAAGGCACACTGCTTTGGGGAAGGTCCAAGGCTCTTCCTACTATATCTAAGCTGAGCAAGGCATCCATCTAAAGGAACTGTAAGATTATTTTTTAATTTTTTGTCATTTTTTAATTTTTTTCCTTTTTCATTGTTTTTATTGAGCTATGCATTTTTCTCCACTCCTTTCCCTTCCTCTCCCCTCCCCTCCTATCCTCTTCCATGGTATGTACCCATGCTCCCAATTTACTCAGAAGATCTTGTCTTTTCCTATATCCCATGTATTAGATCTATGTATGTCTCTCTTAGGGTATTCTTTGTTGTCTAGGTTCTCTAGGACTGTGAATTGTAGGCCGTTTTGTTGTTGTTGTTGTTTGTTTTTGTTTTTTCCTTTATGTCTAAAAGCAACCTATGAATGAGAACATATGATATTTGTCTTTCTGGGTCTGGGTTAGCTCACTCAATATAATGTTTTCTAGCTGTATTCATTTGCCTGTAAATTTCAAGATGTCATTTTTTTCTGCTGTGTAGTACTCCATTATGTAGATGTACCACATTTAGGTTGTTTTGAGGTTCTGGCTATGACAAAAAAAAAATGCTACTATAAACTTAGTTAAGCACATGTCCTTGTGGTACAATTGAGCATCCTTTAGGTATGTGAACAGTAAAAATAACTGAATACATGTAATGTGCCCAGGAATCTGGCATAGAGTTAAGGACATTAGTGTAAAAACTAATGAAATCTAAATAAAGTTGGGAGCTTAGTTAATGATAGTAATGTGCCAAGACTGATTTCTTTGTTTCTGAGAGCATAACAGATTTATACAACACACTAACCAAAAGAGAAGCTACAAAAGAAGTAGACTAGAGCACTGCTTTTCTAGCTTTTGTGTCATTCTTGTTATTTTAAAAATGAAATATATAAGCCGGGCGGTGGTGGTGCACGCCTTTAATCCCAGCACTTGGGAGGCAGAGGCAGGCGGATCTCTGTGAGTTCGAGACCAGCCTGGTCTACAAGAGCTAGTTCCAGGACAGGCTCCAAAACCACAGAGAAACCCTGTCTCGAAAAACCAAAAAAAAATATATATATATATATATATGTGTATATATATATATATATATATATACATACATATGAAGGTAGTTGATGGAATGCCTATTACATTATCTGTGATGTCTATTTAATGATCTTTGACATTAAGAGTTCCTGGCCTGACACATGATGGATTACAAGCCAATATAGCTTGACTTGTCTCTATGGAAGCTAATTTAAATGTCTCAGTTCTCAGTTTGCCTTGTAAAGAGGTTAAGGCAGGAACCAATTCAACAATTTCTGAAAGAATTTCAAGAAAGGGAAATACCTTTAATTCAATTACTCAAGAGCAGGTAAGAAAAACAAGAAGGCAGGCAGCTAGGTATAGGAAGGTGACAGGATGTCAGTATACACAAATTAAGTATGCTTAAAACATGTTCACATAAGAGGAAACTCTTAAGATACTTAATATAAAATATTTAGAATAATTACTGATGAACAAAAAGAAAATACCAACTTACGTTAATTAATGCAAGAGAAGAAATATTAATATCTCACTTTACTTCAGAGGTAATATTAATTACATAGGTGTAATTAATTCCTAGAGCTTTCTAATGATGCTCTTGTGGGAAGTTGAAATATCGCCAAACCTCTGAATATTGGATTTTACAGTGGATGGCATGTTTCATATTTAGTGGTCGTGCTTTAAAATCTAGTTTTCTAAGAACTTGTAATAATGTGTTGATTCCTTTGTGTTAAGTGGATTTTATCAAATAAAATCAGTAAATTAATGCACATAAAATTTCATTTTTAAATTTTATAACCATTGTTTTTAATAAAAGTGATGTTTGACTTTTTATAAATACATACTTGTAATACAGTTGTTAATATTTTAGTTTTTACCCTTCTAAATATATAGATATAGCAAATGACACATGCAATTTTAATTAAGTGATGTAGAAATGCCATATAAAGCCTGAAAACAGGACAGAAGAGACAAAAATGCTCATACTACTAATACCGCGGCACCATTTTTAAAGGCTCTTCTCCAGTACTCTTCAGCATCCATCTGAGAAGCCTGCTTCTCAATTTAAAATAACTGAGTGCTAAATTATGCAGGTGATGGGTTGTCCTCTTCAGATAATTTCTTTTAAGTATTTTTTAGAGTTTTATTGGAAAAAAAATTCTGTTTAAAATTGAGTGTCATTTTTTTTTTCTCAGAATGGTATTCTCAGAGGCTAACTTCTCATTGTTTCCAGAACCAAATTCTGAGGCACTCCATTTTTAACAAATATTTGGTGCTTGTGTGCATAGCACTGTTGTGGATGGTTTTTAAACATTCCCCATCTTTAACAAGCTTAAATAACCAACATGAAAATTTCCTAGACAGGTGACAAGGAAATGGTACGAGCAAGGTGTTGCCAAGTTCCAGAACCACCTTAGTTCTGACTAGACTGGCTGGGTAGGAATGGGTGAGACTGTTCTGAAGGCTGAGAACACTACAAGATGAAGGAGAAGACTCTCTAGCCCAGTAGAGCGTTTGGAAAGGTAGTGGGCAAAGGAAGGGAGATCTGTCTTCTGTGGACAACAGAAAACCAAAGGACAAAGCAGAGAGATCTGCTAGGAGTCTTGGGAGTGGGAGAAATTTGTTGTTATCATGGAAAACTAGAGCATAAAAAGTCAAAAAATGATATATTTTAATTTTTATTTGTTTATTATATATGTAAATCTATATTACCTGTAGAAGAAGATTCAGAGGTAAAATTAGTGACTTGCTCCTTTTCTTTACAATAGGTTAATGGAGAAACGAGAAGTTATTTTATATTGTGATCTTCATGGCCATAGTAGGAAACAGAACATTTTCATGTATGGCTGTGATGGAAGCAGCAGATCTAAAACAAAAGGATTATACTTACAACAACGAATCTTCCCACTTATGCTGAGCAAAAACTGCCCAAATAAAGTAAGTAGCATTAAGAGTTTAACTTTCCTTATTAAATACTGCACATATGGGAAAGTCAAGTTTGTCATCCTACTTGTTAACCTGCTTTTTAAAATTAGTTTTGGTTTTGCTTTTTTTTAAAACTGATTTTTACAATTGACTATGAGAAAAAAACTGTTTGAGTCTGTTTAATGCCCAATTATTTAGAGATATTTTCAAAAAAAAATAAAAACAAAACTTCTTTCTTCTCTTCTCTCTAAGAGCAGCACTATTTACCTTCTGAACTTTTTTTCATTGTCATTTCTCTTATCAATTTCAAGGTCTGACATTTTCAAAAGATTTTTTTTTAGTGTATAAGTAATACAGACTAAAGATCGTGATCTTAGGAAATGTACAATAAATTTATTAGAACTTTCAAAGAAAAATTTAATGACCAATATTAAAAAATACTTAAAAAGTAGAATTAGAAGAGAATACAGTGTAATATTTTTGCTAATGGTGAAAATGTTGGAGCTGTTCAATTACTGAATTGTTAAAATAATTTACTTTTTTAGAAAAAAAGAATTAGTGTAGCAAACAAAAAATCATGTGGACTTCAAAGTCTTAATGAAGCATTTTAATTATAAAGAACTAAATGGGAAATACTGCTTTCTGAGGCTAATTGGGACTCAAACATACCAAAAAAAAAAAAATCCCGGTGATTTGATAGAAAAGCTATCTATAGAAAGAACAGGTTTGTTGTTTCAAGAATACTTGTACCTATGGGAAGATCAGAGAAAACAATCCCATACCTGAATCTATAATTATATTATGTCAGCAGTGATAGGTATAAAATTCATTACTCCTATAAAACTATCCACTATCTCTCCTATCTCTAAGCTGTTTTAGCATGTTTATTGACATGTTACTTAGTCTTCAATCTCTAATTAGTTGTGCCTTACATGAAATGGACCTGTTTCTTGAATGCCATAACCAACCAGTCTGCATTTAAACAGCTGTTCCACCTAATACAGTGATTACTTAAAATATAGACACCTCCAATTCTATGTTCCATCTGAAACATTTCTCATTACAACATTCAGGCAAATCTGCAATCAAAGGTGTAGAGATGAAATACTTTTCCAGTAAACAAGAACAGGTAGCTAGAAAGCAGGGGAGATAGGTAAGAACTGACCAACACCAACTGGATTTGATTGACCACTATAGAACAAGTCAATGTCTAGGTTCCAAGTCAATATTTCAAGCCAATATCTAAATTTCTATACAAGAAGCTGGAAAGGGAAAACAAACTAAACAGAAAACAAGCAGAATGAAGCAGACAATAAAGAGAAGTGGTGATGTTGGAAACGGAGATAATGGAGAAAACCATGAAACAAAGTTTGTACTGGGAAAGATCAATTAATATTGATAACACTTTACCAAAACTGACCAGAAAGAGAAAGATGACAAAAATTACTAACTCAAGAATGAAAGAGAGGGGTATTAATTTGAGCAGATTCTGCAGACAAGCACAATAAAGGAATATCCTTGTGGTTCTACTCAAAAATTCTTGGTTTTTTTGTAATTTGATGAAAATTTTCATGAGTTGTTATAAAACTTTGAAAGATACATATATTTCAATAAATTTAGGAGACTTATACCATATTGTCAGAAATTACATTGATTTGCTAGAAAGAGCTACAGACCATCATTCCATATTTAAGATTCCTGGGTCAACAGTATTGGCTCAGCAGGTAAAGGCACCTGTTGCTAAGTTTGATGGTCTGAGTTTGACACCTGGGACCCACATGGTGGAAGGAGAGAATAAACTCCAACACATTGTCTTCTTGCCTCCAGTCAAGTGGTAGCATATGTTCAAGAGGACCTGAGGCTAAATAGAACATGAACTCTAGGGGAAACTTGCTACTATATTCTGATAAATGGGCATAGCAATAAAACTACTCCTGATTACATAGCTATAGCTATGCTCATAGACTCTTATATTTCTCAACCCTTATCTGAAAATATTCCTGCATTAGGTGCTAAGTAACCCACAACTGGTTAACAAGTAGAGAATAAAAGACTTCGTAATGCTCATCCTTAAATGGGATGCCTGTATTACACTCTCAAGGCTCAGGAATCTGTGTAGAAGAGGGAACACAGAGAGGGTAAGAGCCAGAGGTAGTATATGACTTCAAGGAAACAGCACTGTCCAGACACAGCAGGGCGGATGCACATATTAACTCACAGAGACTGTGATAACATACACAAGACCTGCTCAAGTTCAAGCCAGACACGATTCCAACATGGAGCAGGGATGTAGGCATGGAGTTCTGCCACTAACTATTGGGCAGTTTTCTTCAATAGATTCATACCTAGTGTACTGACCACACTCCAGCGCAGACCTCACACCCAGGAGTAGTATACCAAAACAAGCTGAACTCCATGGATTTTGTTGTTGTTCTTGTGGATGATGGTGATGATGGGGAGAAGGAGAGAGAAGATGAAGCTGGGTGGGTAAGGAGGTGGGAAAGGATCTGGGAGAAATTGGGGTAGGGAAGTAAATATTCTATGGAATTATCAAAGATTGAATAAAATGTTATTTGAAATAGATAAAAAAGATATATAGAAGAAAGACATGAAGTTGTAAGGGAGAGGAGATGGGAAGGGTCTTGGAAGAATTTGAAGGGAGGAGTGAAGAGTGGATGCAATCAAGATACATTGTATATATGTGTGAAATTTTCAAAAAATTAAAATTAAAATTAATTTTTTCAAATAAAGATTGAAGATTTTTCCAAACTAATAGAAACATATACAAAAATTCTATACTTGATATCACACTGGACTTTTCTTAGAGACTTTTCTAAGATAATGTTTTTCTCAAAAAATCAGATTACAAAACAAGAATTCCTCTGCTTAATCTTTCTTTTATTAAAGCAGGACTAGGGGCTGATCTCAGAGATTCAGGTATGTGGCAAATGCTGTCCTCTGAACTAGAGATTCAGCCCTATGCTTCTCTTCCCATGCATCCTTCTGGAAGTTTTAAGTAATGCTAAGAAGGCAGACTCACTGCATGGAAACAATGAAGGCATGTTTGCCCACATATGAAGTTCAAAGTATCTATAAAACCTCTTAGGGGAAGTGATTTTAGTACATTGTAGGGGGAAAGTTCACTCTACAATTTCTAGTCAAAATTAGTAACTATAAGCTAAAATTGAAGACAATACTATTTTGTCATAATTCTAAGTAATGTGTTGCAAATTAGGTCTGCACAATAAATAACCAGGCCAGCTCAAGGATGACAATTATGTTTTTAATGGTTATAATAATAATGCTACAAGAGTGGGAGGTCCGACTTCCTATCTAGGTGGCTGGAGCCAGGCAGAGAGAGCTTGCATCTGGGTCCTCCCAGTTTTTTTTCCTGGGCTCCAGGTAGCCACACCTTAACTAGATGTGATTGGTTGACAGAGTTTACCCATCAGTAATGAATATTTGTAAGTCTAACAAAATGTTTAAATCTGTATGTTAAACCCTTAAAAATATTGAGAAATATCCATGTGAATGGAGAGATATTCTGTATTTTGAGTTGAGACAATAAACACAGATATTCAGTCTTTCATAAATGAAGGGTAGAATTAACACAATTTCAAGAAAAATCAAAACATAATTGTTTACAGAAATAGGTAAATTTGTGTTTGTTGTAAGTAATGCAAAGAAATTGGGCCTAACAAATCAATTTTGGAAAAAAGTTAAAGGAATCTCACTATCAAATTTTCAGATAGGATAAAATAATCGTGATTGATATGATATAGTATAGGGAGGGGCATAGACACTGAGAGCAAGTCCAGCACAGTAGTAAGTACACACACACACACACACACACACACACACAGTCTCTGTCAAGGTACATAGGAAATCTAATATAAGACCTTTCAGTAATTGGTATTACAATTGGACAGCCATTAAAACATCGTCCACCTAAACCTCACATTTTAAATGTTATACATAAAACTTTTATCACATGAAGATAGACAAAAGGTTCTTGAACATTGTGATAGTTGCTAGTACACCAGCTTGACAGGATCTAAAATTACTGAATTGACAAGCCTCTGGGTGTGTCTGCAAAAGTTTAATGAGATTAGATTAATTGGAACCTAAATATGGGCAGAATTATTCCATGGGCTGAGGTCCTGTAGTAAATACGAAGAAAGTGAGCTGAGCACAGGCACTCGTTCTCTCTTCCTCTTAGCAGCGGAGGCAGTACAGCCAGCCTCTTCAACTTCCCAGTGCATTGTCTCTTTGCCGTGGTAGACTGTACTCAACTGGGAGCCAAAACAAACCCTTCCTTTTTAAAAGTTGCTTCTGTCGAGTATTTTGTTACAGCAGCTAGAAAAGTAGCTGATACAGGCATATACCAAGCTCATGACCTATTGGGTCACAATAAACAAACAAATTAGACTTCATCAGATAGATTCTTTTGTTCTATGAAAGGTCTCAGAAAGAGGATGCAAAGATGCTATAAATAGAAAACTCATTTCTGACATAGAACTTATATTTAGAATAACTCAGTAATAAAATAACTTTACAAAAAATAGCACTGATATTAGATGTTAGTGATACTGTCTTAGGGTTTTGTTGCTGTGGATAAAGGAAAACATTTAATTGGGGCTGACTTACAGGTTCAGAGGTTTAGTTCATTGTTGGCCTGGCAAGAAGTATGGCAGCATGCAGGCAGACATCATGCTGGAAAAGTTGCTGAGAGTTCTACTTCTGGACCAGCAGGTAGCAGGAGGAGAGAGCGACACTGGGTCTGTCTGGAGCTTCCAAAACAAAGCCCACCCTTTGTGACACACTTCCTCCAAAAAGGCCACACCTACTCCTACAAGGCCACACCTTCAATAATGCTACTTCCTATGTGTTTATGATGGCCATTTTCATTTAAACCACCACAATACTTCATCAGAATAATATATAATGCTAAATGGGCACATGAAAAGAGGTATTTGGCTTAATTAGCCATCAAGGAGCTACAAGTGAAAATCATGAAGATGAGATACAACTACATGCTTAATATGACTAAAAATTTTTTAAAAGTGTTGCTTATATCCAGTGCTAAGAAAAATTTGAAGCATATCTATTGTTCAGAGATATGATTATTAATACAATATTTTAGAGAACAGTTTGCCTTCGGACTTAAATGAACAGTTATCATGTGATTGAGCAATTCCATGCCTAGAGATGAACCATAGGAAAAAAATTAAAAATTGCATTCATATGTAAACCTGTATATACAAATATTTTGGAAGCTCTTTTTAATTTCTAAAAATTAAATAATTCAGCCAGGCAGTGGTGGGATATTCCTTTAATCTTAGCACTTAGGAGGCAGAAACAGGTGGATCTCTGAGACTTTGAGCCCAGCTTGATATACAGAACTAGTGTCAGGACAGGCTCCAAAATGCTACACAGAGAAACCCTGTCTTGAAAAAAAGAAAAGAAAAAAAATTAAACAATTCAAACTAGACTTTATGTAGTACAGTCACACAATGGAATGAATCACCCTCAGCAATAAAAGAGAATGAATATTTCTATGTGCAACAACTTGGATAAATCTCAAAAGTATTTTACTAAAGAAGCCAGTCTTACTGGTGCTCCAAAGTGGGTCTCTGTCTCTGTCTCCTTTCATCGCCTGATGTACTGGCTTTGGGGGAGCCTAGGCAGTTTGGATGCTCACCTTACTAGACCTGGATGGAGGTGGGTGGTCCTTGGAGTTCCCACAGGGCAGGGAACCCTGATAGCTCTGTGGGCTGACAAGGGAGGGGAACTTGATTGGGGGAGGGGGAGGGAAATGGGAGGTGGTGGCGGGGAAGTGACAGAAATCTTTAATAAATAAATAAACGGAAAAAAATAAAAGATGAAAACGTTAAAAAAAAAAAAAGAAGCCAGTCTTAAAACATTACAAACTCAACCGGGTGGTGGTAGCACTCACCTTTAATTCCAGCACTCGGGAGGCAGAGGCAGGTGGATCTCTGTGAGTTCAAGGCCAACCTGGTCTACAAGAGCTAGTTCCAGGACAGGCCCCAAAGCTAAAGAGAAACGCTGTCTCAAAAAAAAAAAAAATCACAAACTCAGTTCCATTTAGATAACAGTCTTGAAAACACAAACACATAGTGACAAAGGGAAAAGTGAGGTGGCAGAAGAACAGAAGAATGTGACAGCAAGGCAATAGCATGAAGGGAGTTAAAAAGATGGGACGTGGGGATCAGGGAGAGAACTGTTCTGTATTTGATTGTGGTAGTGAATCTCTACACATTAAAATCTCAGAATGGACACAAATAACTTATGTTGAATAACACCTCCCCCCAGTCACTTGGTGTACACTTGTCTTAGTAAAAGAAACCAAAACAATGTTGATCTCTTTATAAACAATATTTCAATACATCTCCAATGCCTTTCCTATGAAAACAGACTCCTTATATTCCTGGAATATACAGGATGAATCTTCATTCTAAAACATGCAGACTTTCTAGAACTTACTAAAAATACAGGATTCTGTGTGTGGTGGCACACATCTTTAATCCCAGCAAAGATAATTGCTATGCGTATGAGGTTAGTGTGAGCTATATAACAAGACACTGTCTCAAAAAATGCAAAAAGCAAGCAAGCAACAAAACAGGAAGTGTTCCTAAAGGTATAATATCCTGTACTAGTAGTAGCAAAAAAATAATACATTTATTTGGAGGGGTTGGAGAGATGGCTCAGCAGTTAAGAGCACTGGCTGTTCTTCCAAACATCCTGTGTTCAATACCCAGCAGCCATATAGTGACTTACAGCCATCTATCATGGGATCTGATGCCCTCTTCTAGGAGAAAGGTATACATGCAGATTGGGCACACATATACATAAAGTAAAATGAATAAACCTTGAAAAAAATTAAGCTTATTTGGGACAAGTTATATGATGATAAAAGCATATTTATTGTTGGCGTTACAATTTCTATTCTCAAAATATAAATACATAATCCTTAAAACAAATTACTTTCCATCTTGGTGGTGGCAGAAGTTGAGTCTGAACCACACTCAACTCTGGTGAATTAGAGGTCACCCTAGGCTACAGGAGATCCTGTTTCAAACAATAAAATAATAATAGTTATTTTTATTGACCAGGAAATAAAAGGTAACACCTTCAGCTTTGAAATTACAATTTTTACAGAGATGCTGTTTTATTTTTCATTCTGTTTTTTTGTCCACTTAAAAAAAATTTTTTACTGATGACGTCTCAAGGCCCTCCAAGGTCACAAGTTTCTATCAGTGATCCAAGGAAGCAACAGAGAAAACATACGGTATTCTCCCAGGAAGAAAAGCTGGTCCTGCGAGAACATCTTGATAAGTGAATGCACCCAATCCAAGAGCAATGCATGGCTCCAAGATTTGGCTTGAAGGAGTCCCATATCAAGATTTGGTTCAAGAACAGAGGAGCTATGAGAATCCGAAGTAGGCTCCAGAACTCCTGGGAAGCCTGGCTCTGGATCTCATGATAGGCCTACCTGCCTATGTCCCTCTCGTCACCTCTGGCAGTGCAGATTCCATATGCCAGGGCCCCGAGCTCCAAAATCACCCATCCTCTGTTGTCAAACTGAGTCTGTAAATATCTCAAAGTCCCTTAATTCCACCAGGAATGCGAATGCAATCAAGTCTTCAAAGGCACTCAGATCATGAAAGGATTCCACGTCCCCATGTGTCCCCAGACCCATCAACAAAACCAAATCTCCGAATGCATCAAGGCACCCTAACGCTGGGAACCGGAACAGTACACCCTAGACACCAGATTCCCTTAAGTTCCTCAGTGAGTTCTGGCTCTGAAGGTTCCCAAGGCCCTATGGTGTCTTCAGATAAATGTGACCAGCAAGTTCAACCTGGAGCTTCAAGGAAGCAACGGAAGGAACGTACTGTGTACTCCCAGGAACAAAAGCTCCTCCTCCAAGAACATTTTGGTCAGTGCATGGACCCCAGCCTGGAGCAACATGTGGAGCTGGCACTGATGACTGGCGTGACCGAGTATGAGATCAAGATCTGGTTCAAGCACCAGCGTGCTAAGTACAAACAGAAGAATCTGGAAAATTCACGAAGTCCTGCTAGAATAAAAAGGAAGCTTCAAAGATGTTCTGTGTCTACCCATTCCCATTGTCACTTATCTGTTCCTGCCCTTGCAAATACAGAGTCCATGTCTCTAGGCAAAAAAAAAAAAAAAAAAAAAAAAGATTGAAAGAATTACATCACTTTCTCCCCCTCTTTTTTCCCCTCCAGCCACTCCCAGCTACTCTCTCCTGAACTTTTTTAATTTCCCACCTACATTTGTACCTGTGTATCTGTATGTAACAATAAAAATTGAAGAGAAGGAGGCCTGCATCTGTGTGTGATAGTAATAAAGGAAAACAGCCTGCCTGCTTGTTCCTTCTTACCCTCTTCCCAAAAAGTGCATGTGCCGCTTCTAATCACTGCTTCTCAGTTTTCCTTCTCAGCTTGCAAGTTTAACGTTCAGAAGAGCAAGGAAGGGACAGGAAGGGTTGTGATGTGGAAGATGGGCATCAGGAACAGCTTCACCCTGGAGGCCACCTTCTGCGGATCTACTCTTGGTAACTGTCCTTGATGACCTCTTCCTGACAGTAAATCAAAGCTAGGCTTTGCTGTAAGATTAGTGATATGGACACCACTAGTGAACATGTTCTTTCCACTTAAATGCACACTTAGGTTTGATCAGTCCTATAAGCAGGATGAATAAATGTCTACTGTGTGGTATCTCTGTGTCATCATTCCCTCTTGTTTATAAAAGAATCTTCTGGGATGCACTCTTTACTAATCTTCAAGCATTTGTTGTTGCTGTTAAGGGAATTCCTATGGATTTTTTCAAACAGAATTCCTGATGAGGCCAAGAAAAAGCAGTGAATGAACTTTAAATATTTTTATTAGATTTGTTGTTTGCCAAGCAAAAATAGAGTAGCAGTTTACATTATTTCCTTGGTTGGTTGGTTCATCCACTCATTGGTTGTTGTCAGTTTATATTTGGAACGAAGCCCTTCGTTCCTGCAACTAAAAATGAAGCTATGCTCTGTAGTCTCACATTAGAAATATCTGTGTCATGCTTAGCATGCATTAGTGAAGTTAGAATATTCTTTATTACAATGATTTTAACACGTAGGGAATGTTTCAGGTCGGGGTTGTATTGTGGTACCTGCCTGTGATCTCAACACTCAAGAGAAAGGCAGGCAACTCTTGAGTTCGAGGCTAGCATGGGCTACATAAAAGAACTTTTCCCATTTTGAAAAAGGAAAATTCTGGAAACTCATATATGTAATTTCAACCTAGTATTGTTTTTGCTTTTGTTCTGAGACAGAGTCTCTCTACATAGCCCTAGCTGTCCTGCAACTCACTATGTAGAGTAGACTGGCCTCAAACTCACAAAGATCTGCCTAACTCTGTTTCTGAGTCACTGGGATTAAAAGTATATGCCACCACGCCTAGAGATTCCTTTTTTATAAAAAAAAAAAAAATGTGACCTGAAACGGAGGTGACATCATTCATGATGGCAATATTTTCTCATGAGGTTTTTCTGAGTAGTTATCACAACTAGTAACTGGTGACCATAACTGTAACTGACTTTCTGCCTTGCAATACATATCAGTGTATGCACAGTAAGCTTTGCTCCAGGTTGTGTGAAAGGATGAGCAAAAGCTTTAAGCTGTTAAAAGACCTGCTCCAGAGAAGAAAATCTAAAGGACAGAATATGGAATTATACCCGTGTTTTATTTATAGTGTCTCACAATTTAGATGTATCTGAAAAGAAAAAAATAGTAACTCATCCTCCAGAGTGAATAATTTTTTTTTTGATGTTTTAGGTAATAAACGAGGCACCCACTTCAGCACAAAAGACTTAGAGTCAATGGGATATCATTTTTGTGATTCTCTATTGGACTACTGTGATCCTGACCGGAGCAAGGTAAGTAAATCAATTTGAATAAATGTCAGATTCAGGCTGTCAGATGGACAACCTGTCTGCTGTCCTACAACGGGTGTTCCCTTTCAATATCTTAATGGCTCTCTGGGTTTGGGTGTATGTAGTTACCCAATAACTGTTATTATATGTATATAATCACTAAATTATATATATATATGTATTTATATGTATATATGATCACTAAATTAGTTTAATTATAAAGTAATGTTATTCTTATAATGAACTCATTTATAATTTTCCCTTAGTATTTTAAGTGCCTGAAAGAATTAGAAGAAATGGAAAAACATATGAACTTGGAAAGAGGCTTTGATGATTCAGATACTTCTCTAGTAGAAATATCAATGGATGTGGAGTCTAGGTAAGTCAGGTTCATTGAAGTAATTGTTAAATTGTTTTGCTGAGCTTTTATTATACAGAAAATTCTAATACTAGGGAAAGTTTTCACAAGTGCATTATTTTGGTCAAATATATCAAAGTTTCATTTGATTTATTCAATATGAGCACGCTGTGTGCCATGTGTTTACTATAGGTAAAGGACACACCACGGTGCAATTGTTTTTGCATTCTCTCTTATTTAGACCACAGCAAAACTGAGAAAACATTAGAGAGATTTCCCATATATCCCCATTGCTATACGTCCAGAGCCTTCTCCTGCTATCAACATCCAAGGATGGTAGATTTTTCAGTGAATGAATTTCATTAACAGACAGTTACGTCACAGTTCACATTATCAGCTACTCCAGTCAGAAAGTAATTCCGCATGCTGTGTGTGTGGACAAATTTATAACGACATGTTTCCTATCATCAAAGGAGAAGACAGAGTATCCTCACTGCATTGGCTCATACTCCATCCATTCCTCCCCCAACAACTGGCAATCACAGACCTCTATCATTGTCTACTTAGTTTTACCTTTTTCGGAATGTCATTTGATTTGAATTATATTATCTTTTCAAATTGCATTTTAACATTTAGTAACATGCTTATAAAATTCTTCTGTCTTTTCATGGTATGATGACACCTTTATTTTTAGCTCTGAGTACTAAGCATTGTGTTGTCTGAATTATTCACTCAACTGAAAAACATCTTAGTTGCTGCCAAGTGTCAGCATTGTAAATAAAACTTCTATAAACATCAATGTGTAGGTTCTTCTGTGATATATTTTAATCTCTTTTGAGTAAAAATAAAGCAATGTGATTGCCAATGTAAATGTACAATTTGTTGTATGTGTGCCCTTTATAGTAATACCAGTATAGTGCTGTAGGTTTCACATATAAAATTCCAAGAGGCATGTTGGCTGAGGCCATAAAATGAAGCATTCAAGTCGTACAGAAAGGGTTTCTTTACTCAGAGATGTTTAGGGTTTGTTTTGGTTTGGGCTTATTTGTTTTTTTAGCATAGGGGTAGTATACTTTCTCTTTACATTTAAATTTCAAGTGTTAAGAATTCTTAAAGAGACCTACCCTCAACAAAATTTTAAATTGACAGTAGGTCATTGTTGATAATTGGTACAACATTGTACTGTAGAACTCTAGAATTTACTCCTCCTCCTTAACTGACTTTCATGTCTATTAACTAGTAACTTCCTTTTGCTTCTGCTCCTAACACCATTCTCTGATGCTATGAATTAGACTATTTTAGTTACTTAGTATAAATAGAATTGTGAACTATTTTTGGAAAATGTTGTATAAAACATTTTAGTGCCATTATTGTGTCAGCTCCAGAACTGGGTTCTTGATTGATACCCACCCAGTCATAGTGTATCATCAGAGTTATTATTAGATTACCTAGTAGTTACTAGATTATAGTTTTCTAAGGAACCTCCATACTATTTTTAATAGTAGCTGCATCATTTTGAGCTTTTGTGTTTGTATTATAAATGTCCAATTTTATTCTTTTAAATATGGACATACAGTTTCTTAGCATCATCTGTTGAAAAGTCTGTTCTTTCCCTATTGTGTACCTTTGGTTGAATAACATTGACTGTTGTGAGATTAATGCTGATTGTTAAAGTGATTGGCTTTAAAGACATCTAAAAGATTAGTAAATCACACCTCTTGGTGCAATTGAGAGGACATTTCCACAGAGGATTAGATCATGAGGGCTGGTTCAATCTATTGATGGATTCAATTTGGGACTGTTGGGACATGGTAGAACTATAGAAGATAGGGCCCAGTTAGGTTGCTGGAACCACGATTTTGAAAAGTTTGTCTTTGCCCTAACCATTGATCATTGCTTCTCTTCTAGAGAAAAGGACAAGAAAATATTTACTTGTATTAGGACAGAGATATTAAAACATAATATAATTAAGTAGGCTGAAGGTGACTCATTATAGACCTTGAATGCCTCATTTGTGTTATAGAAATTCTTAAGTTATATAGAAGAATCTCACATATAGTCAGAAAGTTAAATATTCCCCATATTGACTTGATGTATCAAATAGAAATATCAACAATTAACTTAATAATAATAAATACAACCTTGTCCTGAAAAATCCAGTTTTAATTTTATGACATGGACAGGAGGGAAGTCTATGAGAATTCTAATTGGTTTATGAGAATACCATTTTCTGTCTAATATAGATTCTTCTAAAAGCAAGCTAGTGAGTAATAGTACATATTTTATATCTATTTCCTAATGTTTTTTCTTCTTAAAATCTATAGTTAGGTTATGCAGTAACCATTAGGTTTAAAATAATTTAATGGAGTCTTTCTCATGGCTTAAAAAAACATGTGAATGGTTATGCAATTTTTGTCAATTCTGCCAATCACATACTCTCCATTGACTCTTCTCACCATTAGTTCTTATTGTTAGAGTTCTTTTCCTTCACACATTTTTCCTTATTACTACTAGCATGGTCTTGCTTTCTTAAGCACAAACTGCAGCTATGCCTTCTATGTACTATATACTAAGTTCCTCAAATATTTGGAAGTTTTCTTCTGAACTCTTTTCAGTTGTCTAGTAACAGCAAGTGGTAGTTTTCATGTTCCTTTTAAAAAGGTAAATATGCACATTACTACATAGAATATCACTGCATTTCAAGAGTGACGCTTCTTCATTGTATATTATATATTACACAGTTTCTAAAAGGAAATATACCAACCAGATAATTCTACATTCTACAGATTCTTATTGATAAGTGTATTGGTGCTAGGAAAGCAAAGTCATGTCTCAATTTCTCAAACAAAGCTAAGATATTTTAAAAAGCAGTTTTAGTAGGCACGATAGTACACACCTACAATTTCAGAACTTGGAAGCCAAAGCAAGAGGATTATGAATTTCAGACCAGACTGGACTACATCCTGATATCCCATCTCAGAAACCAAGAGTCATTCTAGATAACACATGATGACACTGTATTTGTACAGTGCTTTATTGTGCTAGATAATAAATATTTCTTTGTACATTCAAACACTCAGTCTTACTTCTCTTAACCTGGTTTAGAATTGCTTATAAAAATAGGTAGTTTTCCAATGTCCCATCACAATGACAGACATTGAAACTGTGGATTATTATGCAGAAATAAGGAAAATCTATATATGCTAATAGTCTGTAATAAGTACAACTTTATATAGGTAGAATAATATATTTTATAGGGAATAAGGGTATAAAAATTCAGTTATCCATTCATGTTTTAAAAATAAAACAATAAAAGGATAAGTTTTAAAACTAATAGAGGAAAAAGCCGAATGAAAATTTAACATTTGTCATTAGGAAATTGCAAATTAGAACAATGAAATACTATGACAAACACTTTAGAATTTCTTAAAATCCAAAGCACTGACAATACTAATGCTAGTAAAAATGAGAGAAAATAGGACCCCTGTTTGGGTGGGTTATGTTGTGTGTCTCTTCCCGGGGAGATGCGAATAAAATCCTATTCATTCCACGTAGAGCACCAAAGGAGACCAAGGGAATAATTCCACTTCAGTTTAGCCTGGTGAGCCTATGAACATATTGGAATGACCAACACAAGTATTAGTGACTCACAGGCTGCTGCAGCGCCAAAGCCATCACATCATGGCCACACCTCACAAAAGTTGTGTCCACCCTGACCCTGACCTGCTTGCTGATGTCTCTACCAAAGGAAGCTCCCCCTTCCCAGAAGCTGACTTCTTATTTGACCTGAAATAGAGGTTTTGTGAATCTTGTAACTTTCTGAGTTTCCTGAGCCTTCTAAGTTTTACGAGTTCCCTGGGCCTTGAAAGATCTCATAGCTTCCTGAGTCTGATGAACCTCCTTCCAGGAGAAATGTTTCCATTCAGAGGAAATAGCTACATAACACTCCACCTTTTCCTCAGGCTCTTACATTCTTTCTGTCCTCTCTTCTATATTGTTCCCTTAGCCTTCAAGAGAATGGTATAGTCATTATTCCAAGCAATAGACACTTATTCTCAGCAAACGAACCATTTTTGAGTCTCCACTATAACTATTGCGCGCGCACACACACACACACACACACACACACACACACAAACACACACAATGAAATATTCCTCCACATCAATAATCTATATACCTGATCACTAATATTTAGAAGGCAGATGAACAAATAAATCATATTTGATTGACTGACAATAGCAGTTCAGATGAAGAATATTCCTTAATTGTTATGTTTCCTACACAATTATTAGGGCCTTCATTTTCATGCTGAATAATGGATTTCCTCCTTCTATATTAAAGGTAGAATCAGAGGTATCTTCTATCATGCTACCTTATTCCCTCTTGTTTTCCATTTTTCCTGCAAAATCATAGAATGACGAGAAAATTATCACCCATGTGTCTTTTCCTCGTAATTCCTTCCTTAGTTGAGCAGGCAGATGAGTCTTAGCTGCATTTCTTATCACCCACAGCAAAGGCTGCACAGCTGAAGCCACAGCCTCCTTACCGTCCTGTCTCATACATGCTACTTTATTTGTGAAATTGAAAGGAAAATTTATTGCAGGCCTGAAAACAACTCCTATATTAGTGACTTTCCTATAAAACTGTAGCTACACAATGCATTGTGTCTATCATATTAAACAGACTTTAGACGGAAATATAGAAACCATGAACTAACAACGATGATGACTTGCAAAGGGTGAGCTTTAACAAAGGAAGCACAAATGGGTGGGTGTGAATTGCATGCACTGCGTGAACCTTAGGCAGTAGGAATCAGAATTTTTATGTGAACCTGAGACACTAGGAATCAGTATTTTGTCATAAAGCAGTATCACATACTATAAAAGTGCATAGTGTCAAAGGAACATTGCCATCATTCAAAATCATCTGTGTCAGCTAGGCAGTAATAATACGCTACAGCAGGGGTTCTCAACCTGTGGGTCGCAACCCCTTTGGGGTCACATATCTATTATCCTGAATATCAGATGTCTACATTGTAATCCAGAACAGTAGCCAAATTACAGTTATGAAGTAGCAACAAAATAATTTTGAGATTGGGAGTGGAGTCACTACAACATGAGGAATTGTATTAAAGGGTCACGGCATTAAGAAGGCTGTACATACAGCATGTCTCCCTAATGTCTGGCCATCCCTGAATACACTGGTAGAAAGTTTGAAATGAAAAAGAAAAGAAAGGAGCTCCCTTTATTTCCTCTGTTTAAAATCCAACAGAAAACAAACATCAGTTCTGTTATACAGTAACATCTTCAGAGTACATCGTTTGTACAGAAGGACTAAGACCCAAACTCTGTTTCCAGAGATCCAAGCACGAGTGAGAGCACGTCCCTCACACGGCTTTCCGATGATACTCAGGAGGAGCCACTTCGTAATCACTGGCACTGAGCAAAGTTGCAGGATCCTTCGCCAGGTACTTGAGGAAATCTTGAAACTCTGAGAGACTGCAGCATGCTGAAATTCTCATAGATGGCCCTGACGCACCCATGTCCCAGCTGCATGGAGCGACACATTTACTGAGACCATTTGCCTGGGGATCGAGTCTCAGGCCTCCACGAGCCATGGTGTCAGCTTTCAGGACTCTTTAGCTTCAGCCCTGTTCATAAACGTTTCTTGGTTTTCAGCAGTAGGATCCCCTCAGGCCCCCTTCCAGGAGGCTGGGGTGTCTCACTGGTACTGTCATCATCTCCATGTCCTGGAGTTTCCTGCCTCTTCCTTTTTGTTGTTTTTCTGTTGCAGGCCAGGAACAGCCTCTCTCCTCTTGCCCTCTGCTTCCTTGTTCCTGACTGATTGACCTTTAACGTTCTCGCTGTTTCTGCAAATTGGTGTCCACAGAGTTAGCTGCTCTGCTTTCTGGAACCCATTTATCCCACTCCATCTGTTCCAACACTGTGGTGTATGAAATATTGCCCTTGTTTGTCCTTTTGGTCCTTTACACACTTTGCTTCCTAGACAAGTGGTCCGTGAAAGCACAGCACACCTCACCCTCCTGGAATTTAGGCTTTGGGTCTGCTTGAGTGCCATTTATAAATGATTCACCACCTGCTCCTTCTCCCACCACCCCCAATTACCACCACCTACTCTCTACCACATGCTACTTTCAAAGGCTGCAATTAGAACCATATAGTTCATCCGCCATTTGGGGGTATAGATCCCATTCATCAGGGAGACATGTCACTCCATACCATTAGGAAGAAAATGGTCACTGTGATTGCTCCATTTTCAGATGTCTCAGCCTTGATTGTGGATCTTCCAGTCATGTAACTTCCACCCCAACATGGAGGTATACCATCTTAACATGTAGAAAATGTAGCCACATTAGAATTGCCCCTGTAGATTCTCTAACCCTAGACAGATCAACCACAGGTGTATGAACCATCATAGGGGTCATGAAACTACTACACCAGCTCATCTTTGTGTTTTAGGTTTAAACCAAATAAATTGAAAATAAGTCCACATAGTATTTAAACCGCTTTATTTATAATTGCCCAAACTGGAAGCAATCAGATGTCCTCTAATAGATGAATGAATTTTATATAAAAAATTGTGTCCGTATAATTTTTATTCAATGATAAAAATAAGTGAGTTGCTGAACCATGAAACAGTATGACAGAACAGAAATCTAAGTCCATATTGCAACCACATACAATGGGTTTCATCTTGATGAATACAATACTAAAACAAGCATGGTCAAGAAATAATAACTGAGAAAGATTTGTTACCTGTAGCAGATAAGGAGAGCAAACAACAGCAATGCCTTCCTCAAAGACAGTGTAGGAATTTTACTTAGAAAGCCTACAAATATTAGTATAAGAAAGCACTGGGCGGAGGGGAGACACTTTCCTGAGCTTGCTCAGTTAAGGAGTAGATTCTTGAACATGCTCAGTTTTAAGTCATGCTTCATGAAAGAAAAAAGGCAGCCACATTGATGCATTCGTGGCCCAGGATCATAGATTTTAAATTGTAAAAATGGCAGACAGGAACACTTCGGGACATGCTCAATTTGCATCCTAAAGGAAAAGACACTTTAGTGGTAAATCAGTATAGAAGTCTACCCCTACAGCGCCTGCCTCAGTGTTGGTAACAGTATTGGTGAATGAAAAAAGTCTGAAAAGGCTGTGTAATCTCAACTACATGACAATGGGCAAGACAAAACTAGTGGGGGGAAGGTCAGTGGTTGTCCACAGTTCCCTGGAAACAGAATCATGGGTAGATTTTTGAGACAATGAAATTGTGTTTGATGCTGTGGCGGTGAAAGATACATGTCTTTATAAGTTTGTCAAAGTTTACAGAATATATGTTGAGTCAGCTAGTAGACAATAGATTTCCTGTCCATTGTAAGAAATTACCGTGTAGCACAAGAAGCCAATAGCAGAGAAAACTGTGCAGCAGAGAGCTTGGAATATCTATTGTGCATTTCTGTAAACCTAAAACTTCTTAAAAAGTAAAGATTTATTGATTAAAAATAATATATAAGAAATACAACCCAGAAGTATTTCCTTTCATGAGTTGTTGCTCAAACAAATAAAGTTTATTTATTAATACTTTGTATTAAGTGATCATAATTAGAAATAGATTTGTGTTTGACCTTTTGTTTCTTGAGGTACTATACTTTGGGTGGCCCTTAGTTGTCTTTAAGCAAGATAGAAATATAACGATATAAAATTAATTTTAAAAGCTAATGATACCCATAAGAGTTAGAGAATTCCACAGATATATCACTTGTTTATTTATTAACAAGGAATACTGAGCCTCACTGTGTGCCAGGTCCTATTCTCACCCTAACAGCACAGTAATGAACCAGACAGAAAAAATAAACCGTGCTCTCCTGGGGCTTACCTTCCAACAACATATTTCCAAACATCTATAGTTTCTATCATTCAGAAAAGAAAAATACCATTTCTAAGTTGTATGGGACCACCTAATGATAAATAACTTTTGTAAATATCATTCTCTTTAGAATTGGAATTGTCTATTCAAATAAAATAATGAAGTAAAAGCAATGTTGAAATTTTAAATTCTGAAAACTGTAATTATTATTATTTTCCTTTTCTAGTAGTCGAGGCTCTGACAGTTCAGAGTCTAATGAGACTCCGACCTATCTTCTCAAGCTGACCTCTCAGGTATGATTTAAAAGTTTGCTTCAGTATGGATATGTTAAGCAGGTACACTGATTATTGTTATTACTAACAACCAGGAAAAGGTCTGTGCATCTATCATTATTGTGCAGTAATAATTGTTTTTCTGATTATATACATATCTTTAAGTCATAGAAGTTTTATTCCAACCCCCTTACTTCATAGATGCCAGGAAGTGAATTAATTCTCAAATTCCACACCACTTGTTAATGCCACATGAGGTACACTAACATACATCATCTGGTTATTGACCCAATATTCATTTATTTAATTACACATATTGTTAACATTGTGCTCAAACTATGAACCAGGCATAGCCTAGGTGCTGGGAACAGAGCAGTGAAAACAATGAGTCAGAAATTCTTTCCTTTGCTTCCATATGTGCTAGTAGGGAGAGCGACACACGAAATAGGGAAACATACGGTTCAATAGATGAGGGTAGGTGCCTGAAGATCAAATAGACGAGGCTAGATGCCTAAAGAGTCAATACATGAGGGTAAATCCTGAAGATTCAGTAGATGACGGTAGGTGCCTAAAGAGAGAGAGTTCATATGAAGATCACAGTTTGCATGGGCTTACTGAAGAAAGAGGATACTTAAGTGAAGGAATAAGCTCCTTTTCACTGTGTGACAAACAACTTCAAAACCTTAGTAATTTACAGTAAGCCTTTATTTTCATATACCATATTCACTAACAACCCATTAGCCACAGTAAGTCATATAGCCAGCCAGACTCAACATTCAACAGAAGGGAGAGGTATGTTCTACTTACCCTGAGAGGCTCTACAGCCTTCCACAGCGAAAACTGGGGATGCATAATCCTATTAAGGAGGACAAAACATTTGGAAGCAGTGGTTTAGCATTCCACAGTTTACCTCTAGGTTACAGTTATTAACTTCCTGTCCAAAGGCTAAAATTACTAGTATTTGTTCCCTTTCTGAAACACCCAGAATCTCATCTGGGTATGGTTATCAGTCCTCCATCAAGTCCTATACCAGGCCTGGACCAAAACCTATAAAATAAGGCAAGTTATCTGCCCCTCTTGTGTACACCCATAATACTGGAACAGAAGTTGGGACATTATAATAGACATCCCATTAAAAATAAAGAATGGATAGTATATAACAGACATAGAACCAAAACAATTCTGAGTTTGCATGCATGTGTGCTAGGGACCAAAGCCAAGTCTTTGGGCATCCTAGGCAAAAACCACAAATTTTTACTGTTCAGATATGGAGTAATCTTCTCTCCTGGGGATTAGAAAACATTTCTAAAGCCCAATTACCTTTTAATAGACTCTTCTGTTTGCTTTGCATGCATCTAGGGTTCACAGTTGCAGTGGGAGGAAAGGGGTCATTACTCCATCTTCTAGGAAGTGAGTCTCAAAATGCCTGTATTTAGACACTCAAAATGACTGACTTTGATATATTCATTAAATACTAATTTAAAATACTCTTTCACGTAGGGGAAAAACAAGAAAAAGTATCTGAAAACAAAGAGGGAAAGAAATGCCACCTTAGCAAAGCGCCGGAATTACGCAAGAGAGGTAAATCATGATTACTGTAATGATGTAAAATGTTTTAAATATGAATACAAGAGAATAGCAAGTCATGTGTTCTCATTTTTCCTCAGAAAAAACTGAATAGAACTTTGATCATATTATTTGCTATTTACAAAATCTCAAAAGATCCTTGACAGGTGAGAGATAGGTCTTGCTAAGGCGACATGTTCGAATTTCATTTGTATTTACTTTATCTTAAAAATATTTGAGAAAGCTTACAGAATGAATATATGATATTTAAAAAGAAATTTAAAAGCAAGGAAACCTAAGAAAATATGAAGGAATGAAAATAGATGGCGCCAAGAGATGGGCATCTAAATGACAGCCGAGATCTCAGCAAATCTCTTCACTGGCAAACTGGCAAACACTGCTTAACAAAGAAAGAAGAACAGCCATTAAAAGTCTAAGATTATACATAAAAAATAAGGTTAAAATAAAAAATAACTATTTAAAATATCCTCACGTTCATTGAAAATAGCAAGTCTGAGAATCCAAACTGTCCTTGTTCCACTCTCAGCTCAGTTAAACAGAAATGCTACCGCAGAATAGTACAGCCAAGAAAACAGGTGACACCTTTCCCCACGGCTAACAGAGATACATTCCCAGGAGGAGCAAGGCATTGGTAATCTAGCCTCCAACTACCTATTTATGAGGCTAAGTTCAGGGTGAGTGCAGAGGAAAGGACAAAGAATCCTACTCCAACCCAAGTGTTTGGCTAGAGGTTTCATCCTAGGTTCTGCTCCAATGAATAAGTGAGCCCTGGTCATTCTTGCCTTATAAAGTATGGATTCAGGTCCTGGAGACCTATGACTGTGATAGCCAGGCTCCAATCAGAAGAGCATCGTAGTCACCAGTCCCACCAGCCTGGGAGAGAGCCAGGCCATACAACAAAAAAGCATCCTAGTCTCTTCCCAGAGAATTGATTTCATTTGCAACAGATGAAGAAAGCTTCCCTACTGGCTAAAGTTCTATCATTCTCTTTTCCATAAAAACAAACAAACAAATAAACAGGGATATAACTGTGTCACTATGCATCAACCCTATTTCATAGTCTAGTGTTACTGAATTATATGCACTAGATGATGGCAAAAATGCTTTTCATTTATCTTTCCCTCCTCAGACCTTTTAGAAAATTCTTTATAATATTAGGCAAAGAAACAAAAGCTTGAAAATGTTTTCATTCACAATGATCTGTACATTAGTCAAGGTTCACAGTCAAAAGTTCAGTGTGCATCTCTTTTAGTCGAGAATGTCAGGTTTGTGTTTCCTCTCAAAAGAGAAAGCAGTATACTTTCAGTTTCCTTTGTTTTAGAGTTCTTTACAAAGCTCAAGAAAATATTCTTTATCTCTTTGTCAAGATATATGAGTGCTGTATGAGGAAAAAAAATCTCTCTTTAGTAATAAACAAAAATACTGATTTTTCCTGCTATTTATTAATGAAAGAAAAATAAAATAAAAATAAATAAGAAATGTTTGTTGAAAACCCTTCCTTCATATTATAATAAAATAAGAAGCATACCGCAGTTTCATGTTTATAATACATCATCCTACTTTCTGATTCTCTGTTCCATTAGGTTTATGGTAAAGAACATTTGCTCCAAAGACACGAAGAATCAAATTCTGATGTGAAAGGTAAACTTCTGTTTTACCTTCTCACAAACAATTTATTCAGCAACACTCATTTTATGCTATAACTTTGAGGTTGGCGCTTGGTGCCAAACATTCTTTTTTTAATTTTTATTTACATTTTTTGTTGTTGTTTTCTTTCAAGACAGAATTTCTCTGTAGCTTTGGAGCCTGTTCTGGAACTCTCTCTGTAGACCAGACTGGCCTCGAACTCAGAGATCCTCGCCTACCTCTGCCTTCCAAGTGCTGGCATTAAAGGTGTGCTCCACCACTGCCCTGCGCCAAAGATTCTAAGATGTATATGATGACTGACAAGATGGCTCAGCTGGCAAAGGCGCTTGCCACACATGCCTGGCATCCTAAGTGTGATCCCTAAGACCCACATCAAATTGGAAGGCAAAAGCCAATGCCACAAAACTGTCCTCTGCACTCCACATGCTCTCAGTGGCGTGTGCTCTGCCACACAAACACTTCATGTATGCACACATGACACAATAATGATTAGTAAATAAATATGTTTTAAAGAAATATATGATACCAGTTCTTCCTTTCAGGAGCTCATCTTCTAACCAGGGAAGAAAAGCAAGTAAGCAAGCTCTGTGTTGCAGGTACAATGCCCGTAGTGAGAGCCGTGTCCCCAGGGACCAGTGACAGGAGTAGTCAGTGACCCTGAACAGCAGAGAGCCCACATATTTGAGGCACATTCTTCGGGTTGTGGACAGTTGCTCTCAAAGAGAATATAGGGATGTCATGTTTTTTAGACTGTCTACTCCTGTCATTTCCTAATTTAATAGAGTACGATCCCAGGAAAGAAATTAAATCTGCAGCATTCATTTGTTTGTGCTGCAAGGTGCTGTCTGATGTGTGTCTTTAATAAATATATAAGTATATAGATATGTACATTATGTAAACAAAAATAATTATTTAATTTTATGTATGTGTGCGCTAATTTATTATACATTTATACCACCATTATCTCCCCAAAAGGAGATGAGGTAACCTAATTAAAATGTATACATACATGTGTGCATAAATTCATTCAGTCTGTGAAATAGGAAACTAAACATTGAAAGATAAAAACCTTACCACGAACAGGGGAGGTTAGGTAAGATTAATTTCACTAGAACTTCAAACTAGTCTCTCTTTCTGATAGTGATCGCTAAGGAATTCAGTGATTTTTTTAATATAACTTTTGTTTAAAATGTCAGAAATCAGAAATAAAGATAAACACAAAAGGGGCTAGGAACAAAGCTCCATCGTGTAACATGTTTGTTGCTCAAGCATGAGTTCCTGAGTTTGGACTCTCAGAACCTATATAAATCAGACACAGGAGCACACAACTGTAGTTACAATATACCGAGGGTAAGATAGAAGTGTACAGGAGAATCTCCATAAGCTTGTACGCCAGATACCTTGGCGCTTGGCACATGCAGAAACAAACGAGACCCTGAGGGAGTCCCCTGACCTCCACACATATGTTATGGCATGCACATGCACACATTCATGTGCACACACACACACACACACACACACAAATTTTTTAAAAGATAAACTCCTAGAGAAGGAATTGTTTCCCCAGAGGTATAAATACTTGAAATACAACAAAATTTATATTTGAAGATATTATATGTTAATTTCATTGAGTTCAACTACTATTCACACATTATTTGAACTTTTTATTTTGAAAGGAGATACAAAATATTAATGAACTGTCAATAATCCATCATTCCTTTCTATTTGCTATGATCCTTACCGTCTTCTCTAGATCCAAGGCCAACTGTACCGGATGTTTATGTGGCTCATTGTTTCAGAAGACCATTGCCTAATCAAGGCTTGGGTAAGTAAAGAGGGCTCAGAAACGTGTGAGCACCTATAATCTGAACATGTGCAATAATAATCTTTATCTAATCAAGATCTACATATTTTAAAGAATAAGATGTTATCTTAAAAACAGATTGCCAACCAGTAGTTCACCTTAACAGAAAATTAGGAGCTTGATTTTTTTTTTTTTACTTCTTTCTGGCTCTAGAAATGCTTAGAAAAAAACAGCAGAAATTGGTTATACATGAGTTTGTTTTTAATTTTGTATTTACCTCTCTCTCTCTCTCTCTCTCTCACACACACACACACACACACACACACACTCCCTTTCCTACATTCGTGTCTTTTTTTGTTTTGTGGCTAAGTTTAACTGGAACTGACTTTGTGGCCATAGATTCACAAGTGACTGTTGGATTGGCAGTGGGTACACAACTGAAGACAATGACTCCCCTTCTCCCAGAAGCTACCAGGCAACACAAAGGGGTAGGGCTCAATGAGCCCCTCCCTATGCATGACTAGTTATGGACATGAATCTGTTTCTTAGAGTTTTATACTACCAGAAAGAGAACAGAATGTTTTACCTCATTGTATCTAATATTTGCACTTACACTCATCAAATCCTAAGGCAGAGATAAACTTTGAGAGTACTCTAGTCTGAGCCCGAATTCATTAGTCCGAATCCATCGGGCTGATACAACTTTTGACCACAAGTTGTTTATTAAATTGCAATATAGTTCATTCTGTTGCTAAAGAGCTTCAGCAATGAAGCAACTATTGCGAAAGAGCTTTCAGTTAAGGAAATTGAAAAGATAATGAGTACCATCCCAATGCCTGCCTGACCTAATCTTCTCTCTCTCAAGCAGGCTAAGAGACTATGTTGTTTCACTGACAATTAAAGGACATATCTAAGTATTTAGGAAGACAGATATCTAAAAATAGGGCCCAGGTGGACATGGTGGGCCACTGAGGGCAGAAGTGAGATCCCCAGTAGCTGGCTTGAGTAGACGAATCAGGAAGGTCTGGGTTCAGGTAAGAGACCTCATCTCCAAATATAGGAATACGACAATTAAGGAAGACACAGGACATCAGTCTTTCACACAGGCACACACACACACACACACACACACACACACACACACAAGCGCACGCGCACACAAACAATAGAGGATATGGTACAGCATGGAGAAACTAATTTGAGATTAAGTGTCAAGGAAAATAAACTAGAGTGAAATTGATTTGGACACTTAACATGTACTAGGGAGACAGAGCTACTCTCACATACATCCACAGTTAAGTCTTGAACCCTGATCAAAAGGACCGCAGATGAAGCTGAGCTTAGGGCCTGGCATACTTCAGATTCCTAAAACATAGTTTATTAAGTTCTACTAACTTTCACAATAGACCCCTCCCCACAAACTACCCAGAGAATGCTACATACACTATACTTTTTACAAGGCAATTTAACTTAGCCAGAACAAATCATTTCAAATCCCTCATGCAGCTTAAAACTATATATGCAGCCATAATTTTGTAAACCTCAGAGCACTTACTCTGGGCTACTAAACTATGTCCCAGGTGGCCATCTTCACTTTAAATTGAATAACTCATTTGTTCTCACATTTGGTGTGCCTTCACTTTACCTGTTAAGTTGACAGAGGCATCCTCAAGGAAAGGAAGTAAAAACATGTAGGTAGACTAAGTTTCATGAGTCTGGGATTAGACAAAAAAGAATTAAGTCATTTGAAAATATTTTCACCTTCCTCCAAACAATGCCGGTCAAAATAATAGATGATGATCTCACTTGCATGTTAATTGAGGGATATGCAGATCTCGTATATGGAGATTTTGAGGCTAGTCTAAACTACATAAGACCATACCTTTAAAAAGAGTTGACGTCTATATCAGAGGAAAGAAATACTATAAAGTATATTTCATCACTATATCCTGATTAACTTGTTCTTCTGTTAATTATGAGTGCCACTGTTAACTAATTCTATTATTATTTTACTTAAATAATAAAATATATATAATTGTAAGGAAGATAATATATAGTAATATATAATATAGGCCCCAACTTTTATTTTAAAATATTTTCATAATAGTTATTTGATATACATATCTAATACATCTGTATCCTATATCAACTCTCTAAAATGTTGATCACATCAGTGTATATGTAAATGTCCTTCACAAGTTTGGGGTTGTTTTATTTTGACTTTTGGTGATGGTGGTTGTTTCTTCTTCCTTTTCCTTCTTCTTCTTCAACTTCCTTTTTGTTTGTGTCTTCAGAGCCTCTCACATGCAAGGCAAGACCTCTGCCACTGAGCTATACTCCCAGCCCATAGGTTACTTTCCAATTGGTAATTAATATATAGATATTATTTTTCTATTTATTCTTCTTTCAGAACAGTCTTATTAAAAGGCTCAGTAGAGGAAAATGTGCTCATATATTTCATGTACATGAACAAAACATTATTAAACTAAAGCTGAACTAAATTACCTAGTCATTAAGTGTACTAAGTAATTACCAAGAAAATAAGAAAAATTAACATCTGTTGATCTTAAAATGTAACTAGATATCTTATGCTATATTATCCTTTTTAGTGAAGATTCCTGGACACAGCTTTTATGCCCGAAAAACACACCCAAGGTTGGTGAACTATTCTTGATTTCTCCTAAACATATTATTCTTTTTCTTCTATTTAGAATGTTTTGATTTTGAATTAAAGCAACAGATAAGGTTACTCTTTTAAAAAAATTGTTGATCAAGCATTTTTTTTTTTAGATCCTACCTGTCTAGTTCACTCTAAAATGTAAGAGCACTCACAGATGCAGTTTTGAAGGGTTCTGAGACAATTTCAATATCCCCAAATTTTAAAGTCTTAGCTAAATGTTTATGATTGAATTATCTGGCTTCTCATTCTAAAAATAAAACTTTCTGGCAAATTCATTATCACTGTAGAATGCATACACAGCAAGCATGTGTTTTACTACCGTCTCATAGTGTCTATGGAAAAGGCATAAAAAGGGAAGTCATAGATTACATTGACCAGCTTTGAATCTCTAGTCACTATTATATCTCTATTACCTTTGGCCAATTTTTCTGTCCATAGGAATAATGATATCAACCACTGTCTGGACGGTGACTTAGACAATCACAGATAAGCCTCTGAGAATTCACTGAATTTGCACAACTATGTAATTTTATTACAAAAGGTACAAGAGGCTTTCTCTTCCTTGCTTGGCTTCTTTCTCAAGAACCTGATTTCTGTTCAACAATAGAAAAGGTTCTGTTTGAGTGTGTACTCTCTTATTCCAAAAGCCTAGAGAACTGGTTACATAAGTGATAATATGACAAGCATCTTTAGACATAACTATACTTGGACCTAGAATTAAGAATTTTAAGATAAGATATTCTATTGAAAGAAATCAAATGATAAATATCAAGATAAGAAACGATGGGGAGTCGGGCAGTGGTGGCACACACCTTTAATCCCAGCATTCCGGAGGCAGAGGCAGGTGAGTTCAAGGTCAGTCTGATCTACAAGAGCTAGTTTCAGGACAACTAGGACTGCTACACAGGGAAACGCTGTCTCAAAAAGAGAAAAAAGAAAAGATGGGACCAAAGAAAAGTCTCAGTGGTTAAAGCATTTATTGTCTTCTAGAGGACCTGTACAGCTGACATGTGGTACACATAAATTCATGCAGACACAAACACATACACATAAATTAAAATATATCTTTACAAAGAGAACAGGAAAAGCACTGGAATTAGAAGACAGGATTGTTAGATTTGATGCTGCCTCTTATTGCCTGTGTGATCATAAGAAAATTGCTTAATCTTTATCCCCCTGTGGGACTAGTACTAGTTATCCAGCCTATATCACAGGCTGGTGAGAGCTCAGAGATTACATACTAAGGAATAAAATGCAAATAGAAAAGCTGCATTACTCTTGTGTAAGTAGTTGACATTGAGATTACAGTACTCAATTTCTTTCAGCTCCCAACGTGTGAGTCAGAGTCTTATCAAAGAGCAACGGACACATATTTTAGAAACTTGTAAGGGCCCAGTCCAGGAAGCAGTTCAGTCCAAAGGAACCGACATGTATGAGAGCTGTTTCAAAGTGGCATCCCTGAAGTGTCCTGTGAGCAAACAAACTTCAAATTGGATTGAGAAGACGAGAATACCAACAGGTTTTTTAAATTATTGTTTAATACTTTAATAATACACAAAGATTCTTTATATTATGTCATCATAATAAATCTCATCCAATCCTAATTATGGGAACTACATTAGTAAACAGAGAATTCATAACCATTGCCCTCTTGTGTCTGGAAAGTACTTACCTGGTAAGGGAGAATTGTCTGTATTCTGTCAATCATGTTTTAAATAAATGCTGATTGGCCAGGCAGGAAGTATAGGTGGGTAAACCAGACAGGAAGTAGAACAGGAGAATTCTGGGAAGGAGGAATCCCATTCCTCCCCCCGTCCTGCCCAGACCACAGAAGAAGCAAGATATAATCTGCCCGGCTGAGAAAGGTATCGAGCCATGTGGCTAATGTAGATAAGAACAATGGATTAATATAAGCTACAAGAACTAATAAGAAGCCTGAGCTAATGGGCCAATCAGTTTATAACTTATGTAGACCTGTGTGTGATTTTCTTTGGGACTTGCCGGCTGTGGAGTACCAGGCAGGACAGAAACCCCAACAAGCCGGCCCCACATGTTACACTTACCTTATTTTATATCTGAGTGAGCACATTTAAAAATTCTTTGGTTTAATATAGCCTTGAAAAAATTAACTGCATCCTTCAAAATAGCTCTATTATCACTATCCTACAACCAAGGAACATTTGTCTTAATGCTATGACCATCTTCTGGTAGTTTCTGCTTCCCAGCATGGGGTTTTCAGTTGTAAACAACCTTTAACTTTGTGTCTCTAAAGTGGCTCCAAAACAATTGAAAACCTCTGTAGGCCATAATACTGTCTGGAGATATGTCCAAGAACTACCCCTTACAGAAGCCCAAAGAACACTGGTCCAATTCTCATTCATCTAAGTAACAAATGTAGGGTTAAGTTGTAGAGGTAAAACTAAAGTCAACTTCAACTTCATTCTACTTAATGAATCTAAAAGTCATGCTAAATTAAAAAAAAAAAACAGACATAGGCTGGGCAGTGGTGGCACACACCTTTAACCCCAGCACTTGGGAGGCAAAAGCAGGTGGATCTCAGTGAGTTGGAGATGAGACTGGTGTACAAAGCAAGTTCCAGGACAGTCATAACTGTTATACAAAGAAACCCCAGTCATAACTGTTATACAAAGAAACCCTGTCTCAAAAGATAAAAAAGAAAGAAAGAAAGAACCTAACATAAAATAGAAAATGCTGTATGATTGCATTTATATGAAAGCAACGTTTACTGGAGAGAAAAAGAAACAAATACAGTTCCCTAGAGTAGAAGCTATATGGAAAACTGGATATACCATAAGAATCCATTTAGGGATGATCTTTCCTATATTCTGATTGTAGTGATGATTTCACAAGTCTTGACAACTGTTGGAATGCCATGGTCTTGGATCAGTACAACCAGCTTAATGGAAGTATTATCTGGTGAAACAGGAAAGACTAGGGATGGAGCTGCAATCTTGTCTAGACACACCACATTGGAAGTGTCTCTTAGTTGTTGAAGTTGAGCTACTGAATAGACTGCTGATTGTTAGCATCAGAAAAGAGAATTGAACGTAGGATACATTTGGGAATTTTGAAAACATAGACCATGGTTTAAAGCATGCTCTGAAAGGCATGTATAAGGAAGTGAGCATACATTATAGATAGAAAATAACAAAGGACCAAATCTCCAAGACACCCTTCCATGATGGGTCCAAAAAAGAATAGGAACTGAATCAGAAGACTCTGAGATAGGAGGTAGTATACAAGGAAAACCCATAGGAGAGAGATGCAGAGAATATGTAGACCTGGAAGCCAAGCAAGAAAGTGTCTTGTTGTCTGAGGTTTTTGTCCTGCCCAGTTCCCGCAATCGTTAAGTCCCAAAAAAAATCACACAGAAGTCTACATTAGTTATAAAACTGATTGGCCATTAGCTCAGGCTTCTTATTAACTCTTATAACCTATATTAGCCCATTATTCTTGTCTATGTTAGTCACGTGACTCGGTACCTTATTCAGCGATGTAGTCACATCTTGCTTCTTCTGGGGCGGGGCCAAGACTGCAGAAAAAGCTTCCCTCTTCCCAGAATTCTCCTGTTCTTATTGACCCATCTCTACTTCCTGTCTGGTTGTCCCACCTATACTTCCTGCCTGGCTACTGGCCAATTAGTGTTTATTTAAAACATAATTGACAGAATATAAACAATTGTCCCACACCAGTGTCAAGTAGGAAAGAATGGTCAGCTTGAGTCTGAGACTTCTGATTGATGAGTTGAAATGGACTGACTTGAATTTTATAACATTGGATGTTCTGGGGATCTTGATTGGAGAAATTTTGGTAGAATGCTAGAGGTACCAATACAACTGAAGTATGCCTAGGGATGGGAGAGAAAAGCTAGAGGCTTTCTACAAAGCCTGAAGACCTGAGATCAACTGCCTAGAACTCACCTAGAGACAGAGGAAAAACAACTCCACAAAGTTTCCTCTGTTCTCAACATGTGCATGACCCTCTCCACACACACCATACATATAATAAACATTTTAATGTAATTTAGAAACTGAAATAATTGTTTTCAACCTTATCTAGATTTTAACTAAGATCCTCTTCTCTGCATACTACTTTATTTTATAAACAAATATCCTATTGAGTCCTGATGACATTAAAAGTTATGTTTCCCCTCTTCTCAAAATATGTCTGTTTCAACAGGAGCTAGCACCCTTTCCTTTTCTACTCTGCATTCCCTTTAAAGTACCATGTCTTCATCATCGCTCTTCTGTCCTTTCCCGTTATTGAATTTACCAAGAAGAAAATATGTGGATTATATAAGGTCCAGTCAGACTCTAGTTCTGGAACTGTTTGTGTTTACTGATGAGAGACAGTACAAAAATGAGTTTTGCCTGCCAAAGCAGAGTGGAGAAGTAAATCTATAACAAATACTGCCAACATTTTTATGTCTAAGTATTCTTTTCTTTGGGCTTAACTAACACAAATGCCATACTCCTACATTGCCTACTCTTCTGCTTATCCATTATGGAAATAAGTCATGGCACCCGGCAGTCATTTCCTTTCAGGATGTTTCACTCCCACAGATTTTCTGCTTACACTCCATAACTACTTTTCCTAATATCACTAATATATCTTAAATATTGATGAGGCCTAAGCAACAAAAGGAAAACAAATTGCAGCTGAACAATGGGTTAAAGAAAGAGTTTCTTGCTCTGTTCTCTCTCCATTGGGGAATATTTATGTTTTTAAAAAGAAGTCCACAAAAATATGCCCAAAAATGCCTTAATATCCATGCCTTAAGCCCTCACACCTATGAATTAAAGAACATTTGAAGACTGTTTGGGGGGTTCTTTTATTTTCTATTAATAGTCGTGTTGCTTTTTCTTAAGAAAGACTTTTTTTTAGCTGAGCGGTGGTGTCACACACCTTTAATTCCAGCATTTGGGAGGCAGGGTCAGATGGATCTCTGTAAGTTCAAGGATAGATAGCACTGTTTCATAGAGAAACCCTGTCTTGGAAAACCAAAAAAAAAAAAGAAAAGAAAAAGGAAAAAAGGAAGGAAGGAAGGAAGGAAGGAAGGAAGGGAGGGAAGGAAAGATTTTTTAAACCATCTAATGGGAGTTCCATCTGATTCATATACACTATATGTAACAGAAATGTCATCAAGTTTGTAATTTATGGAAATACATAATTCTACTATTTTCTTTTGGTAAGGTTTCTTTCTTCTTCATCTTCTCTGTGAGAGGCTATTCAGTGCCTGTAGTCACATTATATGGCACTAGAAGTCATAATCTAGGCATGTAAACATAAGCAGAGCTGAGCAGATAGGGGACCTATGATGACCCAATTCCAAATTTAAGGAGTATAATTTTAATTCCAGCTCTTGTAACCACATATAAATCTCTAGCACATTCCATTCATTCTTTATTGCTTAATTGCCTGCACAATAACTGTGATGGCTATTCTTGGTTGTCAGCTTGACTATATCTGGAATGAACTTGGCCATCAAGGTCTTTAGCATAAGCTATCATTGCTGTTTTTGATATTAGCCATTCTGACAGGTGTAAGATGGTATCTCAGAGTTGTTTTGATTTGCATTTCCCTGATGGCTAAGAATGTTGAACATTTCCTTAAGTATCTTTTGGCCATTTGAGAGTCTTCTCAAATTCAGGAGATCCCATTAATTTATTGTTGCTCTCAGTGTCTGTGCTACTGGTTTTATATTTAGGAAGTGGTCTCCTGTGCCCATGCATTAAAGACTACTTTCCACTTTCTCTTCTATCAGGTTCAGTGTGGTCAGATTTAAATTGAGGTCTTCAATCTATTAGGACTTGAGTTTGGTACATGGCAATAGGTATGGATCTATTTTCATTCTTCTACATGTTGACATCCAGTTATGCCAGAACCATTTGTTGAAGATACTTTTTTTCCATTGTATAATTTTAGCTTCTTTGTCAAAAATCAGGTGTTCATAGGTGTGTGGATTAATATCTGGCTCTTCAATTCGATTCCACTGTCCTCCTACAAGTGTTGCTTGTTCTCTGCCTCTCAATGTCTCTGCTCTCTTCTTTCTTTCTGTCCTGAAAATCTTGCCTAGTTATTGGCCATTTAGATTTTTATTAAACCAATCACAGTGACATATCTTCACAGTGTAAAGGAATATTCCATAACAATTAACCTCCTAACTTGTCCCCACAACTCCCATCTCAATTTATTTATCCTATTCTTTTATGCTTCTGCCATGATTTCAAAAATGAAAATTGATTACATAACTTCCATGAATAAAATTTTCAATGTTCTGAGCTATTCGATTTCAACCATATGCATTGATCATCTTCTAATCACAAAGCCTTCTTATTTCAGAGAAGCTGCTGAAAGTGTTATTGTTGCAAACAAAGCCTCTAGTTGTGAGCAACTTTATCACACTTACGTGACATCTGTGCCATTCATTTTAAAACAAATCTGTGATTTTCTGAATGTGCCATGTTAATCTACTATACAGATCAGGAAAGTTTAATTCCATCCATGGCCCCTTCACCTGAAAAACTTTTACAACTCAAAAAATTATAGATAATAAATCAAAAATAGAATTTCATTGATGCTTTAGCTTCTCTCTAGTCTTGACCCAGCATAATGAAATTAAGGATTATGTCTTCCATATTTAATTACCAGCTAATCAAAGTGCTAGGCACACAGTAGATATTCAATGAGTGTTTGCTCAATACCTAGTAGTGGCTTCTAGAGATACTGGATACCAGTTCATTTGTCAGGATTGACAGATACTGTAGTCATTATTTTTCAGATCCAGCTGGATGTATGAGTTTTAGTATTCTGTTTCTTTTCCTTTTGGTAGTAGGCAGTTCTATTTTAAAAAGGCACTTCACTGGAGAATTTTTCAAACTTAAAAGTAGAGTACAGAATAACGAACTCGAAGGGCCCACCACCCTCCTTTATTAGCTTCTTGATTTTTTGTTTTATCTGTATTTCCACTACATTTTCCTAGAGTATTTTAAAGCAGACTCCACAAATTAAAATTTTGCCTGTAAATAATCTATTATATATCTCAAACTGGATAATCACTTTAAGAAACAACAAAGCACAGTGTGTTTTCTTGACTTAGTTTTAATTGTGATTTACTTTTCCTTATGTTGTTAAATAACAATTTACATGTAAATGATCCTGCCCCTCTCTTTAAGATGCAAGACTAATCGTCAGCCTTCCTTCCAGGGTTTTTCTTTGTTCTGTTCCTGAGTATGTTAATTTTATTTTAATTGTCATAAATTTTATGTAATATAAAATTTTCCCTCAATGATTTTTAAGGGTATAGGTCAGTAGTGTTAAGTTCTTTGGCATTATTCTGCAAACAATCTTTAAGACTTTTTAATCTTAAAATACGGAAACTATGCATATTAAACAGCTCTTGCTTTTCCTTCTCTCAGCCCCTGGAAACTATTCTACATATTGTACCTAGACATTCCCTATAAGTTAAGTTAAATATTTAGAAGACAGATATAGTATTTGTCTTTTGGGAACTACCTTCTTTTACCTAGCACCATAACTTCAAGATTTAACAATGTCAGTATTTCCATGCACTTCGACTGCTTTCACTTTGTAAATAACGCTGCTGTGGATGTGGGGGACAAATGTGTCTTTTATGCCATGCTCTCAATTCTTTTGGGGTTGATGGAATCCACTTGTGAATATGATAAATGTGTTTTTAGCTTTTTGTTTATACTGTTCTCCACATTAGCTGCACCATCTTACACTCCTCATCAACAGTGCACGTCTGTGTTCAAAGCCCTCCCATTAACACTTATGGTTCTTATGATGGCCTATGACAGTGGTTCTCAACCTGTGGGCCACAGCCCTTTTGAGGGTGGTCAAATGACCTTTTCACAGGGGTCAGATATTCACATTATAATTCATAACAGTAGCAAAATTACAATTATTAAGTATCAATGAAATAATTTTTGGTTAGAGGGTCACCACAACATGAGGAACTGTATTAAAGGGTTATTGATAAGGAAGGTTGAGAAGCACTGACCTCTGAGGTCCTATATTGTCTAAATTCACACTGCTACCTGATTTATAGCCTTCCTTTCATTCACTTGCTTTAGCCACTGATGTTGTCTTCGTGTCCTCAGCATGCTGCCATATTCCCATCTTAGTGAGAGCTTTTGCTCTCGGCTGTCCTTTGTCCAAAATGTCTTTCCCATGGTATCTGTTTGGCGTAACCCATGACTCCTATGATACATCAGAGTCATGGAGAGGCCTTCTTATTGAATATGTAAGTCAATCATCTTCTACCCTAGAATTCTCCATTTCCCTCCTTAGCCTTATTTTACCCTGTAAACTTTATTACTTAACCTACTAGGTATTTTACTTACCCATTGTTATCAGCCATAAACTTTAGATAGCAAAGACTTACAGATAAAACCCCTCATGTGGGGGCTGGAGAGATGGCTCAGTGGTTAAGAGCATTGCCTGCTCTTCCAAAGGTCCTGAGTTCAATTCCCAGCAACCATATAGTGGCTCAAAACCCCTCATGTGGAATTTGGCTTAATACAAAATTGCTGAATGAATATACTCATATGTATATTCACATGTGTATATATGTATATGTGTATGTATGTATATTTGTGGTTGCTCCCTAGAGTCACATCGTGAACTGAAAAGCAAAGTAAAAAGATGTGCATCTTTCCAAAGCAAGAGGACTGGTATAAATTGGACAGATGATGAAAAAAGAATCTACAGAGATAAAAGAATAGCTCAGACCCAGGAAATACTACAGTATTTACTCCCTATCGTGGAATCCTCTAAAAGCATGAAATCTACTCAAATGAAAGACCTATTCACTTCAGGAGCTGACTTCCAGCAACATCAGTAAGTCAATGGCCTTCATCATGCTTACCTATGTATTGCTGGGAACAAACCCAGGACCTTGTTAGACTATGCAAATGTTCTACCTCCAAGCCACCCCCAAGCCTGTTCCTTACTATCTAATACAGTTTTATAAGTAAGTATAGCTTGTTAGTTCAATATCTTTAAAAACAAACATGGGCTTTAAAAAACAGCATTCACAACATCACAAAACCTAAGGCCATAATTATATACTAGGTATGTAAAGGATTAAGTTATCAGGCATTATTATCAGGCATTATTTGACCTATTACTCATATAAAATACTTTAGTTTGTATCTGTAAAGTAAGTATGCATAAATAAAATGTAACTATAGCATGAATTGATGATTTTCAGATATTTTAAAACTTTATACTTCTGAGGGAAGGCAGTAGGATTAAAATAATTTGTCTTGGCAACTATTTGGTACTCTTTGGAAAACAATAATAAGATTATTTCTTTTAAAGATGGGAAACAGAACTTTTCTCTAAGGCACAAAGGAAAACTACATAAATAAAAGTAAGGATAATGAAATCTGAACATAATAAATATATTAGTATTATTGACAACATTTTATAAAATATTTCCTATGAGCTAGATATTTTTCTAAGTTATATACTTATGACCAGCATGGCCCTATATTTACAGTTTCCACATCCCTGGATATAACTAATCTAAGCCCTAAATATATTTCTAATCTGTTCTTGGTTGAATCTGCAGATGCAAAACCTCCAATACAGAGGTCACACTGAGTATCTTACATTTTACATATAACAAGATTAAGATGCAAAGACATTAAACAACTTTTTCAAAGTCACACAATAGGTAGAAGAATTTGGATTCAAATTGTTAAAATTGATTTCAAAGTCCAGAGTACATACCTACACATTAACTGGAAAATTGCAGAGATTTTAATGGGAAATAGGCAAAGATTATAACCAAGCAATTCACAAAAGAATATCATGATCAGTGGCTGGAGAGATGGCTCAGTGGTTAAGAGCACTGGTTGCTCTTCCATAGGTCCTGAGTTCAATTCCCAGCAGCCACATGGTAGCTCACAACCATCTATAGTGAGATCTGGTGCCCTCTTCTGGCCTTCAGGAATACATGCAGGCAGAATACTGTATACATAATAAATAAATGAATAAATAAATAAATAAATCTTGAAAGAAAGAGAAAGAAAGAAAAGAAAATATTATGGCCAACAAACATTTAGAAATGTTCAATTTTGCTAACTTGAAAATTACAGATCAAAGCAGTGATAAAACAGCATTTAATTTTTTTGCTGTTCAGTGGGAGAATCTATTCCCTGACTGTGGGACACAGGTTGGTAATTTCCATAAGGTATTTCAACAATATAAATGAAAACTCCTGATTTCACGTTATTCTCCCCTTCTCCTCCTCCTGTTTGTGGTGTTCAGGGCTGAGCCGTGGGCCTCACCCATGCTCCTGAGTCACCATCGCACCACCTTCTTGACTAAAGGAATTCCACTTTGGGAAGTTTACTTTAAGGAAAAAAACTAAATAAGAATTATAAGACATATTTAAAGTTCATTTTATCATTGTTTATAGGAGATAAAAATTAAATATAAATGTTCAAGAATAAAAATTAATTATGAAATATTCTGTAGTATTTCAGTATTGCAAATGAATATTGTTATGATTCAGCCACAATATGGCTGTCACTTCCTGGTTCCAGGGCCATGCATGTGCAGACAAGCCCTCAGGCATGAGCCCTGAGCACATGCATGAGCTCTGTCATCTGCATATGATGCGACCACTCCATCCCCCTGCCCCCCCTCCCTCCCTCTTTCTCTCCGTCCCTCTCTCCCTCTCTCTCTCTCTGCACACTGACTTCCCCAGGCCTGTGCACACCCTCTAATAAACTCCTAAGCGGGTTTGTTGTGTGTTCCGTGTTTCCTTCTCACTCGTGCCAGATAATTTCAAATATTAATTAATAAAAAATAACGTTCATAATATATGTGTGTAACATGAGCTTTATACCCACTTTATTTGGTGTGATTATGTGTACATGTATGTATACATTATACACATTCAAATACAATGGAGAAGAAAAACTCTAGAAGCACATATCCTCAAAAGTGATTATTTCTGGATGGGTATTAGTGATGTTTATTCCTTTACTGTATAATCATCAAAACCAATATAATCAAAAATGGGCAGTGGGTGGCAATTTCTAGTGAAATGCTGTCACAGTCGTGATGGGAAAGACCCTATTTGACAGGAATTGAGTTTCATAATTAAGCAGCTAAAATATGAAAAAATAATGTGAACCTAGGCAGGCAAACAGAGTATAGAGTATAAATCAGCAAAATTATGAATGGGGGTGCTAAAGAAACAGCTAAGTGACTAAGAGGTTACACTGCTCACGCAGAGGACCGGAATTTAGTTCTTAGCTCCCACATAGTGGCTCACAGTTGCCCCTAATCCAGCTCCAGTGTATTGAACACTTTCTTCTGGTCTCCACAGGCACATTCCCACACATACATACATACATACATACATACATACATACATACATACATGTAATAAAAAATTAGATCATTTTTAAAGGTTATAAATTAAGGCTGGAGAGATGGCTCATGGGTTTAGAGAGCTGGCTGCTCTTGCCGAGGAGCCACACACACTTGCCGGCACCCACAAGGTAGCTCACAAGGATCTATAACTCCAGTTCCAGGGATCTCACCCTCTTCAGGCCTCTGTGGGCACCTGCACACACATGCTGGGAAAGCACATGGCTGCAAACATAAACACGTAGAAAATATTTTTTGAAATTACAAATCAGGAAAACTAATTGCAAAATATAATAGATATTGGCAAAGAGCCTGAGAAATTGAGACTCCAGAGTAAGCAAAAGGTCTAGGCAATAATTTTCTAGTTGTTGTAATAAAAGAGTCCTTACATTTCAAATCTAGATTGCTCTCGGTGCGGACAGGGTGAGACTGAAGTGTATACAAATAAAGAAACCAGTCTAAGAGAGATTGATTAAAAAGCACACAGCTATAATGATGATAAGAGGGAAGAAATGTAAGAAAATTCAAGGTGGTTTGTGGCAACAGAAAGAAAAGCAGTTATGCAGGAACTTGGGGAGGAGAAATCCTCCAGGGCTTTTCCACTTCAGCACCATTCTGTAGAAGGTGGCCACACCCCATCCTAGACTTGCAAAGATGCAAATTGTTTGTTCACAAATGTGAAAGAAGATTGGCACTGTGCTAATGGGTGGAGGTCACATAGTTTCTTATGACTATTGGAAGCCCTATTCTGCAGCAAAAACCCAGAAGTTTCTGCTATGGGTATACAAGGAGCAGTAACAATAGCACATTGTTTTGTGATTTGTTGTTGTTGTTGGTTGTGGGTTTTGTGTATGTTTTGTTTTGCTTTGTTTGTTGTTTCTTTGTTTTAGAGCTGTCTTTCAGGATGCCTTTTCTCTGTTCTATACATTCTTGGTTTGACTGGCACAGCAATATTCTACACTGTTACCTATAGATACTGACTGATACAGGGTAAAGGGAGAACAAGGGGTAAGCAAGAAACAAGAGCTCCCGTAGCTAACTATGTTGGAAATGAATGTGTGCGTCTGAAGCAGAAGTGCCGGGTGGAAGCTCTGACACTGCACGTAATTACAGTCTCGGCGTTGTGCTTGTCTCTTCTGGCCTGATCCACAGGGAACAGGGCCTGCATGGGTTATGATTGATACCGAGATGGTTTGTAGCCTTTAAATTTATATCTGGTCAAACACTCATCAGAGTATGGATACTGACGAATAGTCCATGTTTGGTATTCCATTTAATATAGCAGTAAAAATCCCTGAGAAGCATTTTGTAAATCAGAATGTAACCAGACTTTTCACATCTTGATGAACCAGATCTGTCTGCCCTGTTCTTTCCATCAAAACCCTGGGGTGTTACAGTTAAAACCAAGACTACTCCAAAAGATGGTGAGTCACTGGGAATTTCAATCCTTGGACTCTGTTGTTTTAATCATACTGCTGTGCCAGCAACTGGAGTCCTTTTTTTTTTTCTAATGTTCCCTCCCGCTCCCTTTCCCTTCTACTTCTTTCCTTTCTCTCCTCTCTTGTCTTCTCTTCTGTCTCCATCTCTCTTTTCCTCTCCCCTCACTCCTCTTGTTTTCCTCTATGGTCTCTCCAATGCCTTTCCCCTCTTTCTTCCTTCTTTTCCTCCTCTCTCCATCTTTTTTCTCTCTTTCTTCTCTGTTCTCTCCACACTGTCTTTGCATACTTTCTTCCCCACTAAGGTTTTCTGTTTTTAAAAATTTGTTCCAGGTGTGTTTGCTGAAGTATCTTCATCATGACTATCTTAAGATTGAGCTAGAAAATTCAAATTTCACAGACATCTTTGTATTTTGAAACTACCTTTTAATAATTAATTTTTAGATCTTCCTAGTTCTTTTTCTTGAAAATAATTTTTTATAAAGGTCATTCTGATCAGTTTCCTCTTCTCATCTTGAGCTTAATTTTCCCCACCCCCTTACCCATCCAACTCTTCAAATTCCCAGGTGTGGTCTTGCTTTATATATTTCCTTGATCAGTCTTGAACTTATGGGTTCAAACAGTTCTTCTGTCTTGGCCACCCAAGTTTTGAAACTAAATATATATAATCACACCCAGATGTTTAAATAAAACAATGAAAGCAATTAGCAAAATAGATTTTTAAGGCGTTGTTCACTGGCATGCAGTTCACACAAAATGCTTTCAAATATGACAGTGTCGGCAGGCTAAAAATAAAATGATGAAATATGGCATATTATTGAAGCACTGACAAAACGAGGAGGGTAGATAAGGTAATTTTAGATAAAACAGATTTCAGGCAAGAATATCAGAGACAGAGAAGAGTTCTGTATAGTAGTTTTAAAACCCCTGTATACTAAGAACAAACAGCAACCTTAAATATATGCACAGTGCTAGCGAACTGACTGTAAAATATGTGAAGCCACAATGAAGGGA